TCTTCTTCTCTCTCTCTCTCTCTCTCTCTCTCTCTCTCTCTCTCTCTCTCTCTCTCTCTCTCTTTGCGAAGAGATCAATTAAATTAACATTCGTTCGTGCCGTATAATTAGTCGCCATTTTGTTATTATTATTATTTTATCATCGTTGTGTTATCACCGTCACGATCATACATCGTGGATTTTTATCATCATCGATTTTTTATTTTCGAAGCTAAGCTCTACCGCCTCTTAAATAATTAGAAAAAGAAATTTTTTTTTTTGTATAAATAAGATAAATAAATATCGATAAATCGATTTTATCGATTTATTCGATACATCGTTCGATTTTTAAACGTTTTGTATTATTATCAGTCCCGGCGGCGGGCGGGGTATAAATAAATTTTTTTTCATATGATTTTCTCTCTTTATGAGTAATTTAAAATGATTTATATAAAAAAAAAAAATAATAATAAAATAATAATAATGATAATGATAATAATAATAATAATAATAATAATAATAATAATAATAATAATAATAATAATAATAATAATAATAAGCCAACGGCCATAGCGTGCTGGTCACACCGGTTCCCGTACGATCACCGAAGTTAAGCAGCATCGGGCGTGGTGCAAACTTGGATGGGTGACCGTCTGAGAACGCCACGTGCTGTTGGCTTAAAAGAGCAAAAAAAAAAAAAAAAAAAAAAAAAAAAAAAAAAAAAAAAAAAAAAAAAAAAAAAAAATGAGAACAAGACAAAGTAAGAACCAAAAAACAAATCTTGTTCTCCTGTCGACCTGAGGCAGCTCGACGAGAACGTGAATTTCACTGCTTCTGACCCTGGCCACTCCAAAGATGTTAGTCACCGGAGCCCAGTTCAGGAGACAAATCGTTCCCATCGAAAAAGACGGACTCAGGAAGACCTTCAAGAATTGATGTGGTGCTATCTTATAATAAGTGGCACCACCGAAATTCGAGTATTTGTCCCTAAGGAATCGGGTAGAAACCTCGGATAAATACTTAAAAACTCCGACAAGTAGCCTTGTCGTGTTTAATGGTGGATAATAATAATAATAATAATAATAATAATAATAAATTGAGAGAAAAAAAATGTAAATAATCGTTTTAATAATTATTCAGAATAGTAGTTATGTGTTCAAATTTTCCAAAAAAAAAAAAAAAAACGAAATTTTTTTTTTCAATGCTCGTGCAATCGTGTTTGTTTTGTAACCTGGAGTCGGAAGTAATAATAATAATAATAATAATAATAATAATAATAATAATAAATCGATAAATAATACATAATAGCAGGGGTGGGAAGAGGAGGAGGAGGAATGATAAGGAAGGAAGGGAGGGATAGGGTAGACGTTAATTTGAAAATTGCTTTCCTCCCCCCATCTATTTTCCTTTTCCGTTTCCTTCTCTTTCCTTTCCTTCACTTCTCTTCTCCCCCCTTTCCCCCGTCTTGGGTTTTTCTCTCATCAATAAATTTCCCATATGTCGAACATAAAATTTAGGGATAAATAAATAAATGATTGATAGATAGATAATAATAATATTAAAATAAAAATAAATTTTTTTTTTTTACGCATAACTAACCGATCACCGACGATCATTTTCACATTATTATTATTATTATTATTATTAATAAATAAATAAATTTAATTAGTTTTTTTTTTCTTTTTTTTTTTTACACTGTTAATTTTGTTTAAATGAAAAAAGTTTATACGTGCAGATATAGATATAAATATAAATATATTAAAAAAAAAAAAAAAAAATGAAAGAAAAGAAAAAAAGATATATATATATTTTATTATATGTGTATTCATTTTTTTTTTTTTTTTTTTAAATGGAGTCATGTTATTATAGACTTATTGAAAATGTTTTAACATGTTTTTTTTTTTTTTTTATTATTATCGTCTTTTAATTTTAATGTAATTAAATATTGTATTGGAATATATATATATTTTTTTGTTGGGATGAAAAAAAAAAATTGATTTTTGCTTTTTCTTTTTTGTTAATTAATAATTTATAGTTCCTGTAAAATTATTATTATTATTATTATTATTATTTTGAAATTGGGATATGGTGAGGAATCATCAAAGGATTTTGTTTAGGAAAATAAAAAATAAAAAAATAATTTAAACTAAAGTAAAAAAAATTCAGTCTCAATTTTATATTTTTTTTTATATTTAGCTTATATACAAATTTACGTCAAAAATGACGTCATCAAGATACTTTTAACTTTTTCTTAGGTATTTCTTTATCGCTATCACTTTCTGATGTATCATCTAATGATTCCAAATCGTCAACCCTAAAAATTACAAAAAAAAAATTAATTATTATTTAAATCGAATTATATATTAAAAGGAAAAAAAGGAAGAAGAAGGAAGCATACCATAGATTTCCTTTGATTGGTTTTTTTTTCTTAGCTTTTTTTTTGAGTTGATTTGAAGTGGATGCTCCTTCTTTTTTTTTCTCATCTTCGTTTACGGCTGCTTTTAAACCTTCTTCGACAGATTCGTGAATTTTTTCAGGCATTTCAAGTCTGGCTTTTGTGTAATCAGCATCTGTAAATTCATGCTTTGTGATTTCTGTTAATTTTTCTAATTTTTTTTTTTTTTTCAGTGCTGCTTCTTGTTCTCTCTCAGCTTGCTCTGCTATCCATTTTTTTAATCTTTTTTCTTCATTGATGTCTCTCAACCTTCTACCACTTAAATCACGACAAGCTTCTCTATTTGTTGTTTTTTCTATTTGAGCTCCGATGGCTCTTAACATTGAACCAAATCCACCCTTTCCTCCACATAACCTGGGTATGGCGTGTATGTCACAATCTCGAAATGTGTTTTCGCAAAACATTTTTCCGTTTTGTAATAAATAAAAATCAAATGTGGCACCCTGAAAATAATATAATGATTTTGTTTTGAATATTATAATTAAATTATGTTGACACTGAAAAAAAAAAAATAAAAATACTTGCATAATTTTCTTTGGAGTGTTTTAAAACAACCTGTCTTAATTCATTTTCCGAGAAAATAGAATTTTCCGGTAATGTAATTCTACTGGGTGAAGGCCCAACGTCCAAAATTAAATTAACCATTTTGAATCTTACAAAAACCTTTTTTTCTTTGAAAATATTATAAATTGAAACTACTTTATACTGAATTTAATCAAAATATGAGTGTTTGTATGTCAATTTATGAATTACACTATTGCCAATATTAAATTATTTTTTCTCGAGTTGGCAACACTTAAAAATAATTATTATAAATTAAGGATATAAATTAAAATTAAATTTTAATTATGAGTTTAATTTATTTTCAATTTTACTTTTATATTATTAAAGTTTTTTTTTCTCTCCCTTTAAATTAAAAATCGATAAAAAAATTTTGCTTCGTTAGATAAATATTAAAGAAATTCTGAATGCACCATGCATTCTTACGAATTTTCCAACGTTTTAAAAAGTTGAAATTTATGTAATTTCATGAGCACTAATACATGATATCTAATTTCCAACTTTCCATATTTTCCACAGACAATATATATATTTGTTAAATCGTCATAAAATTACAAATTAAAAATATTAATTTAAATTTTTAAAATTAATATAATGAACATTTCACCGCCTTTCTTAATTACTTATTGTCAAAGCAAGAATAATGGCTGATGCAATGACGTCATAAAAAATGTATTCCTACGCCGAATTTATAATTTAATTATTTATTTTAAGTTTAATTTTCCTTTTCTTTTTTACTATCGAAATAATTTTTAGTAATTTATCATCAATTGAAAACTTTTAAAAAAAAATTTCAAATAATATATATTTGAAATAATAGAAAATATTTTTTATCGCGGAGAGACCTTCATTTAGAACCGTGAACCCCGTAGAGCGTTGTATTGAAATTATTTAAACAATCAAACATGGCTGATATTTGTATGTTTATAACTATTCGTCAGTTTGTAGATAATGTGAAATACGAACGTTGTGATTGTTAAAATTTGTTTAAAATAAAACTTCTTTAAGTGATTTCTTAGTGTGTGTTAGTTCGGACTGACAGGCGACTTATCTTCGCGCTTTCTAATTTACTGTATATCCTTGCGTCTGAGAGGCAGACATTGTAGGCTTACAGAGGTAAAAACCAATCGATTGACTCAGTTCGTTTTATAATTATTTAATTCCATTATTACAATGTTATTTTATTTTTCATATTCATAACCATTTTAATTTTATTATAAGACTTGAACCCTTACTTCCTTTCGATAAATTTACTATTAACCTATAATACAATAGAAATCAATGTTATAATTGTTTTCTCAAGTTAACGTTTTTTTCTCAAATCTTTGGGGATAAAAATGAAATATTCGAAAACATGTAAAATTCATGGGTTTTTTTTCAATTAATAAATGTATTAATAACGATCGGTTAGTTTACGTTAATGCCTTTGATAAATTTCAATTCTCACTCAATTACTCTCCCATTCGTGATGGCGGCATTTTATATAAATTGTATTTTTTATACATATTAGAAATATTTGTTTAAAAAAAACCATGAAAGTTTAGCTATTCGTTATTATAAAATACCACAATTATGTTTTTATAATAGTTTGAATACTTTTTATTCTTAAATATTTATATTTATATAAGAATAATATGTATTATTATTATTATTATTATTATTATTATTATTATTTGCAATGTCCTTATTTTACTTAATTCAAACATTTAGTTTATTGTGCTCAAAAATTATTAACAATATTAGCTTAATTTTTTATTTTAAATATTCAAATTTATTTTTTTTTATGTCCCAAAAGAAAAAAAAAATTTCTTTTATAGTTTACCCTATGCTTATTTAATAATAATAATAATAATAATAATATTAATTACACTAGGGTGTAATTATAATAATAATTGAACTGTAATTTTATTGTACCAAAATATGAATTGCATTTAAAATAATTAAATTAGCATTAATATACATTTTAATGAAAAAACATCTAGAAAAACACACACATTCTTACTGCTGGTTAACCATTCATAGTTTTTAATTTTATTTTTTTATTATTATTATTATTAATTATTTTCGAGTTGAAAAATATTCTGCTTGTTAACTTGTTGTAATTTGTGCTGTTCAAAACTGATGCTGATATTTTTTATTAAAAATTTTTTTTACAGATTATGAATATAAAAGTAAAAAAGTTTTGAAAATGGATGAACTTGGAATGATTTTTAACTAAAAAAAAACAAAACAAAACAAAAAAAAAATTAAAATGTCAACAGATACAAGACGAAGAGTGAAATTGTATGCCTTAAATGCAGATAGGCAGTGGGACGATAGGGGAACAGGTCATGTATCCTCCGTTTATGTCGATAGACTGAAAGGTGTATCATTATTAGTTAGAGCAGAGTCTGATGGTATGTTTGAATTTTTATCTTTCCAACATTTCCTTTGATTTTAATACATTTTTTTTTGTAAAATGTTTTGATTTTTTCCAGGCTCTCTTTTATTGGAATCTAAAATTCAACCTGATACTGCATATCAGAAGCAACAGGATACCCTTATTGTTTGGTCTGAGGGTGACAATTTTGATTTAGCTTTAAGTTTTCAAGAAAAAGGAGGTTGTGATGAAATATGGGAAAAAATATGTCAGGTTCAAGGGAAAGATCCCTCAGTCGAAGTAACACAAGATATTGTAGAAGAGTCCGAGGATGAAAGGTTTGATGACATAAATGATTCTGGTAATCCAGTCGAATTACCATTATGCGAATTGAGTCGATTGGAAGAAATAAATGAGGTTGGTAACAATTGTTTTGTTTTTTTAATCGAGTCACACACACACACACAGGGTATCCAACCCAGCCCATTAATAAACTTCATGTGTTTGTTCACAGGTTATCGGAAGTTGTTTGTCGTCACAAAATAGAAAAGAAAAAGTAGCTATATTATTAGAAAATGAGGGTTATATTAAAAAACTACTCAATTTATTCAGAATGTGTGAAGATATAGAAAATTCTCAAGGCCTGCATCATTTATATGAAATATTTAAAAATATTTTTTTGCTGAATAAGAATGCTTTATTTGAAGTCATGTTTGCTGGTAAATACAAGAGGAGGAGAAGAAGAAGAAAAGAAAAAGTTATAATTTATCATAACGTATATTTTGATATATTTTAAATTGTATATAAATTTTAATTGCAGAGGATACGATTTTCGATGTTGTCGGTTGTTTAGAATACGATCCAGCGAGTCCCACTCCCAAGAGGCATAGACAGTATTTAAAACAATTGGCTAAATTTAAAGAAGTTATACCAATCACAAATGCCGAATTGTTGGCTAAAATTCATCAAACCTACAGAGTTCAATATATTCAGGACGTTGTTTTACCCGCTCCTTCTGTTTTCGAAGACAACATGTTGTCAACTTTGTCTAGTTTTATTTTTTTTAATAAAGTTGAAATAGTCACTTTAATACAGGTACGTACTACTACTACTACTACTACTCATGTTGGGTGCGACCAAACGTTTAAATTATTTTGTTGAAATTTTCAAATAAAATTCGTGATTTTCTAGGAGGACGAAAGATTTTTGAGTGAATTGTTTGCACAATTAACCGACGATTCGACGGAAGATGTCAAAAGGAGAGACCTCGTATTATTTTTAAAAGAATTTTGTAATTTTTCACAAAATTTACAACCTCCTGCTAAGGAAGCATTTTATAAAACCCTGTCGTCGTTAGGAATTTTACAAGCGCTAGAAATCACATTGGCGATCGATGACGCTCAAACAAAAACTGCTTCAATAGATATTTTAACGTACATAGTTGAATATTCTCCGTCTGTCGTGAGGGAATACACTCTACAACAAGCAAATAATACCGAAGAAGTAAGATGAATTGGAAGAAATTGATGAAAATTTCAAAATCTTGTTTTTTAATTTAATGCAATTTTTTTTTTTTTTTTTTTTTTAAATTTCTAGGACCAATTTTTAATGAACGTTATAATAGAACAGATGATGTGTGACAACGATCCGGAATTAGGAGGCGCTGTACAATTGTCTGGTATTTTAAAAATATTATTAGATCCAGAAAACATGCTAACCTCGACAAACAAATCAGAGAAAACAGACTTTCTTAATTATTTTTATAAGCATAGTATACATGTACTTATTGGTAAGGCCATTGAATACGATTCGATACTCTTTTTAAAAAATGGCGATCGTACTAAATCGAAAAAAATGATTTTTTTTTAGCTCCTCTTTTGTTGAATACTAGTGAAGATAAACCGGGTAAAGAAGATCATCAAACCGTACAGTTGTTAGGATTGATATTAGAATTATTGTCTTTTTGCGTGGAACATCATACGTACCACATTAAAAACTGTGTACTGAACAAAGATCTTCTTAGAAGAATACTTGTTTTGATGAAATCATCACACGGGTTTTTGGTGCTAGGTGAGAAAGACTCGCATGGATGGATGGAAAAATTTTCTTATTTATTTTTAATACTTAAATTTTCCTTTTTTTTTTTTTTTTTTTTTAAGGTGCTCTTCGTTTCATGAGAAAAATAGTAGCGTTAAAAGATGAATTTTACAACAGATACATTACAAAGGGTAATTTGTTTGCTCCCGTCATCGATGCTTTTCTTCGCAATAACGGAAGATACAATTTATTGGATTCTGCAGTCCTTGAAATGTTTGAATTTATCAAAGTGGTATTGTATTCCTTTTTCTTTTTTTCTTATTAACTTTTGCTTTTTGTTTGTTTGTTTGTTTGTTTGTTTGCTTCGATTAAAATGATTTTTTTTTTTTTTTTTTTTTCTCTCAAACAGGAGGATATAAAAACGTTGTATTCACACGTCGTTGAAAATTATGGTAAATTGCTAGACGATGTTGAATATGTACAGACATTCAAATCCCTTAAGTTAAGATACGACCAACATCAGGACAGGTTAAAAGATAGAGATCGAACCACTCTAGAAAGGTAATAATTAAACAACAAACAACAAACGGTTGTTGACTTCTTTTATACACGCTTTATTTCGAACCGATGCGTTCAATTCGATACGATTGTATATTTATTAGAAACAGTTCTATATGTTCTAGTGTGCCATCCATTCTCCGCAATTCGAGATACAGAAGAGATCAACGTCAATTAGATGAAGAAGAAGAAATGTGGTTTAACGAAGATGACGATGCCGGGGAGGTCGTACCCTTTTCAAGTGAAATAATAACCAAAAAAATGGACACGGAATTGGATTCGATCGGTGAGTAGAAATTAAAATTAAATTTAATTATTTTAATCGAGATTTTTAGTTTTAACATCATGAATAAATTTTTTTTTTTTATTTCTTCACTTGCAGGTAAAATTATCGATGCCAAAAAATCAGAAGGCACCAATCACACGAAACTCATAAACAACACGAGAACAACCGGAATATTAAACAATAATGCTACGGGGGGTTCCCCTCTTAGTCCAAATTCAAATATTAATTCCAATACTTCGGATAGTAAAACAAATTCGTTATTTAAAAAGGTGAGTTTGTTGTTGTTGTTGTTGTTGTTTGTTTTGGATCCGACGGGTCGGTAATAAATAAATTGGGGAGGGGGGGCGGGGAAAATTTTTTAATCAATTTTTTTTTTTTGCGGTCAGGGTCTTGTCGACTACGAGGGTGATTCCGACGAGGAAGAAGATGATAGCAATGATTTGTCTCCATCGGCGAAAAGAGCTCGGGTGACATAGTGCAGCGTGAATTCGGTCGGGAATCAGTCGGTTTTATCAAAACCCTGGTTGTTGGCCGGAACTTCAGCATCCGTTCTCTCGTTGCCTAAAATAGGTTTCGAACTTAACGTTGAAATACCAAAAGTGTTGTGCTTGTCCGAATCATCAGGGGGTTCTGTCACGACAACGGAGAACAGTCGAAGCGACGCTTCTGTCATATGCCCGTCTGGTTTTGTTCAATCAACGGACACATCCATTTGATGGGCGTTTTAAATTTAAACAAAAAACAAAAACAAAAACATAGCCACCAGTGTTGTTTAATTATATCGAGTAGAAAAAAAAAAAAAAAAAAAAAAAAAAAATGGAAGTTCGAAGCTTCTAATAATCATTCATAAACACCTTCTTTTTTTTTTTTTCTATTTTTCGATTATATATATATACATATATTTTTTTTCTCTTTTTTTCTTTTTTTTTTTTTCTTCTCTCTTTATTAAATTCGTCACACACATTTTTTAATTCATTTCCAATCGAAAAGAAATTTATTATAATAACGATTTATATTCACGATATTAAAAAGGAAAAAGAAACGAAAAGGAAAAAGGAAAAAAGATTATTGAAGAGTAGTAGTCGTAATAATAATAATAGTAATAATAATAATATTATTTTTTTGAGAAACCCTCCGTTCATTTTTGTTTTTATTTTATTCTTCTTCTCCATAAATTTTTTTTTTTTTTTTTTTTTATTTTATTATTAAAGCCTGATGTGTAAAAACGGGCGCACACAAAAAGTATTATTATTATTTTTAAATTTTATTATTATTATTATTATTATTATTATTATTATTATTATTATTATTATTATTTATTTTTCGTTAATGACACGAAATTTGTAGGAGAGAAAGAGAGAGAGAGAGAGAGATGTTTGGGCAAAGTTTTTTGCTCGTTCGGTTTAATTTTTTAATTTTGTCATTATTTATTTTTAACCGACGGTAATAATAATAATAATAAATGTCGTGTATTGCAGGCCGTTTAACATCATCGTATTAAATAGACTTATGATAATAATGATAATGATAATGATAATGTTTTATTTAATTAATTATACAAATTGATTTAAATGATGACAACTGCAAAACGTGTTTTTTTTTTTTTTTTAAATTAATGATTTTATATAAGTATGTAAATATTTATTTTATTTCTTTTATATAAAAATATATTTATGCGTTTATACATACATACATACATACATACATATATTTAAATAAATAAATAAATAATAATAATAATAATAATTAATAATTAATAATTAATTGAATGGATTTGTGTAAGTGTGTGTGTAAATGTGTGTAGATGAGTTTATCGGTTTATTTTTTTTGTGACGTAATTTCGAACGGAGGGAGGGGATGGGAGGGAAGGGGGAGTAGAGGGGGAGGGGAAAATGGGAAATGATACTTTAAAAAAAAATTTGTTTTTTAATGATGTGGTTGTCGTTATCATAACGATGACAATGAGGTTGGAAAATGAAATTTTTTTTTTTTTTTTTCAATTGTTTGTAACGAAATTATTATTATTATTATTATTTAAAATTTTCAATTGGACGATGGGAATTAAAAAAAAAAAAAAACAAATTCCCGATAAGGTTTTTTTTTTTTTTTAAAATTTTTTTGGCGGGAAAAAACAAAATGAAATTGTATAATTTATGTATGTATGTATGTATGTATGTATGTATACATATACATAATGAATTTTCTTTTTTTTTTTTTCTCTTATACAGTTTGATAATTTATATTTATCGTGAACATAATTATTATTATTATTATTACTATTATTATTATTATTATTATTATATTTTTAAATTTAATTTATATTTAAATTTAATTTTTTTTTTTTTTGTTTCGACAGGACAAACAACAAACAAGACGAAGACGACGACGACGAGAAAATTTTTTTTTTTTTATTCATTCATTCATTCATTCATTAATGTTGTTGTTTGTAGAAAATTAATAATGATAATAATAATAATAATAATAATAAGGTTTTTTTTAAGACGCTAAACTTAAATTTAAATACCGGACAAAATAAAAACAATAATAATAATAATTATAATAATGATAATATTTTTTTTAATTTATAAGAAAAAATGACGGAAAAAATTTTTTATTTTTATTTTTATTATTATTATTATTGTTACGAACGGAGGTTTCAATTAATTAATTAATTATTAATACATAATTTTTTATGTTAATTGTAAATAACCTCAGTTTAAATTATTATTATTATCATCAGTAAAGTTTTTTTTTTTTTTTTTGAATTTTTTCAAAAATGGTTGAAATTAGAAAATAATTTTTTTTTTTTTTTAAATTTAAATTCAAATTGTAAAAGTTGTGAAAAAGGAAAAAGAAAAAACCGACAAACGAAGTAAACAAACGAGGCAAACAAACAAACAAACAAACGAAAACAAGTTTTATCATTTTCACGTTAAAATTTGTTTTTCATCTCTCTCTCTCTCACTATCTTTCTCTTTCTCTCTCTCTTTCGACTCTTATTCATCCATTTTTTTTTTTTTTTTACTTGAAAACACATCATCACTTAATAATAATAATAATAATAATAAATTATGTAAAGTTTTGTAAGAATAATAATAATAACAGCAACAACAGCGAAACCGTTGAAAGTTTATTTTTTATTTTTATTTTTCATTCGGTGTTTGTGATGTTATTTAAAAGTGAAATGAATTTATTATTATTATTATTATTATTATTATTATTGTAACGAATTAGAAACTGATTAAAGAAGATGAAGAAGAAGAAGAAGGAGAAGAAGGGGAAAAAAAAAGTGTAAATAGACAATTAAAAATTTGGGGGTTATGTGTGTACAGTGGTGTAGAATAAATATATATATATATATATAAAAAAAATGGTGTTCCTTGCGAGAAACTTTTTTTTTTTTAACTTATAAACTGAAGGAAATATTATTATTATTATTATTATTATTAATATTTTTTAATTTAAATGGTAAGGATAAATGATTGATTGATAAGACAAAATAATTTAAAAAAAAAAAAAAAGGGTTTTGATTACAAAAAAAAAAAATTAAAAAAATTAAAAAATTTTAGTAAATGTGTCTTGTATGTATGGGAGAAACAAACAAACAAACAAACAAACAAACAAAATTTATAATGTGTATTATATAATTTAATTATAAATGTAAGAATGTTAGAAATTATTTGATTGATATGTTTTAGTTCAGCTGCTTTATTTAAAAAAAAGAAAAATTTCACGAAATTATTTGTAGAAAAGAAAAAAAAAAAAAAAAAATATCACAAAAATCATTTTTTTCAATTCTTTTATTTTATTTATTTATTTTTTTTTTGTTTTTTTTTTTCTTCTTCTAATTTCGTTCCATCTCTCTCTCTCTCTTTCTCTTTCTCTCTATCTCTTTACAATCCGATTTTACCTTATTAAAATTATCATCATTATTATCATAATCATTAATTTATATTTGTGAATATTTTTGTGGAAAAAAAAAATTGTTTATTTTGTGTTATCGGAAAAACACCCACGGGAAAAAGGGAAAATTTTCATCGATTTTTCAAAAAGGTTACCGTGGAAGCAAACGTGTCGACCCCAACAACAACAACAACAGCAAAATATGTCGATGGAACGTTGTGAAAATTTTACATTCAATCATTCGGATATAAAAGTTCCTGCGGATTCGTGCGAGGAAAAAAAAAAAAAATTATTATTATCATTAAAAAAAGAATCGTGTGAAACGTTGACACCGGTGGAAAAGTGTTTTAGAAAAGTGGAAAATTCGATACTGTCGAATCACACCACCTACGATTTAAAATCGGTTAAATCCTATTTGGAATTCTACGAAAGCATACCTGACTACACGGATGTCAATCATTTATCGACGGAAGAATTTTATGAACGTTTAAAAAAATTAAAAATAACTCAGAAAAAATTCATCGAAGAATCTGGAATTAATTACGATAATAATAATAAATTATTTAATTATAATATAAATAAAAATAATGATGATAAAATTTGTTGTTCGCTTTGTTGCGCCGATCGTGATTTTTGTGACGGTGTCGAAGAAATAAAAAAAAAAATTATTCACGGTGATGCTGTTGGTGATGGTGATGGTGGTGGTGGTGGTGATGGCGGTGGCGGTGAAAAACAAAAACCACAAATAAGAATAAATGGCGTCAGCGATTGTGATATCAATTCGGATATATCGGAATTAAAAAAACAATCGGATTACGAAGCGGATAGAGAAAGTTCTACACTTCAAATCGGTCAGGAAAAATTTTCCAGAATAAAAAAATATTTTTCCCCCCCGAATGTAGGAGGTGATGATTTATCCGGAAGTTGTAGTAAAAGATCTAGAAGTTTACCATTTAGTTCCGGTTGCGATTGTGATACACCCGAAACGTGTCATAGATTTTCCGAATATAATTTACGGTAAATTTATTTTTATTATCATTTAATTTTTTTTATATTTATTTTAAAATTTATTTTTGTTTTTTTAAGGGATGAACGTTTCCGCCCTAAATTTGACGGGTATTACGGTACGACGGGAAATGAAAAAGTAAAAAAATCTCACACCACACAATCTCGAACGATACCCATAACTTCGAGAATTCCATTATATGATAAATTAATGTTTGAAAAAGAAAGAAGGTAAAATGCAAAATTTGAATTTTCTTTATTAAATAATAATAATAATAAATAAATAAATAAAATTGGAAAATATTTTACAGGAGAAGAATTTTACACGAAAGATATTCGGAAAAGTTAAAATCTCTCGTTCAACCATTTAGCTTTACAAAAAGGGAAGAAGCCAACAGGAAATTGCTGTTGGCTCGTTCGAATCCTGAATTATATTCGATACCAACACCACCACCGATTGTAAAATTTAAAGCGAAACCAATACCGAAAAATTTATTTAGTAATTACGCGTATGATAGAATGAGAGAAGAAGAATTTTACAGAGCGTTGAAAAAAAGGATAAGAGCCGAAGAAATGTTGAAAATATCATCGTTGCCACCTTCGATGGCTCTGAGAGAGAAACAATACCTTTCGAAATCATTGGATTACATGGATTCAATTAAAAATTACGATAAAAATATCGATTTCGATGACGTGTCGAGAGACAAGTTGGACGTACCGAAAAAAAAATGTTACCATCGAAGTCATAGAAAAAAAGACAACGGAAGACTCAATTCCGCGACGGATAGTTGTTCACTTGAAATACCATCACCATACGAAAGCGTTTTAAACGATGGTAGAAAAAAATCCCGACCTCATTCTGCATATAATACCTGTAGGAATAATTTAGCATCGGTATTAAGAATCGAAACTGCCAGGTACGTGTCTAAACGGAGAGAGAATTACATGATTATTATTATTAATATTAGTTATTAAGTTTAAGCACGATTTAATAGGTTACAAAATAGATTGCACAGTTCATCGTTGAATAGAAAAGAGAAAAAAGAATTCGGATATTAAAATGTGTGGTTGTCTTATAATAGAAAACGTATGGAAAAAGAAATGGAAGAGAAATTAATGGAAAATCGTTTGAAATACGAATCCAAAATGAAGGAAAAACTCATACGTATGACGCCCGAATGGAAAGCTTTGAAATACGACAAAGAACAAGATTTCGCTGTGAGAATGGCTTTGAGAAAAGAAGAAAATAAAATAAGAGAAGAAAATCATTTGAAATCGATGGAATCCATGTACGGTCGAGTGTATAGCATGCCACCGTTATTCGACCATGAAAGATTTCATAATTTTAAAAATTGGGTAAGAACAAACGAACAAACGAACATTACTTTTAAAGTTATGATAATAACAAAGAGTTTTCATAAAATTATGTTTACAGTCAATTAATGTTAATAAATGTTATTTTTACGATAGGGAACGAAAGATAAATCATCATCATTGTTTATCAAAACCGGAAGTAGTACGACGTGTGATGATTTCCATAGAGTATATAATAAAGAATCGAATGAGGATAAAGGAAATGATTATTTAAATTTGACTAATGTTTTACCACGATCATCGCCGACGCCGCCATCATCGTCATCGAATTTAATAAATTCGAACGAAGCAAATAATAATAATGATAATGATGTCACGGGGGAGAATTAAAAATTTTTTTGTAATTTTTTTTTTTTTTTTAATTAAATATTTTTATTACGTTAGGCTAAGACGAGATTTCATATAGAAAAATTGAGAATTTTTTTTACTACTTAGGTTCTTTTAAATTATCTAATATCCATGGTAGATAACTTTCGACTTTAGTAAATATGCTTGGTATGTTTTCAGCACCGCAATATTCGGATCCCTTAAACGAAGTTATACCGATTTGATATATGTTTAACCTCGTCAACATGAGTGGACCACCGCTGTCTCCCTTGCAAACATCTACGGCTTTCCAACCTTGTACGCACAATTGCGTATCCGTTATCGGACAATATTGTTGTTTTTTCTTATCTCTGCATATGTTACATTCTTCACGTTTGACACCTGATATGCTTGCTTTAAGAAGGACGTCGCTACCTTCATCCGCATCTATAAATTTTATTTATAACAGGTGATCATAACTTTAATTTTTTCATAACGATTGAAAAAAAATGTACATTTTTAACTTACTCCAATCGGTTTTACCCCATCCAGCAACTTCGTATTTCGACGTGGACGTTATATTTAATTTTTCAACATCGATCGGAAGACATATTGGATAAATGTTAGATTTTCCTATAAAAACAAAACAAAAAACGATGATTATACATACGGAAACGTTTAATCCTTGCCCGAAGGGCAAATCGAGAATAGAATTTAAATAATCAGGTACCGAAATTTTTTTTTAATTAATAATAATTTTACATTGAAAAAAAAAAAAAAAAAAAAAAAAACGTTTTAAGGTCGTGAACGGTTTGCTTTGGTTTAAAGCAAAATTTTTATTTAAAAGATGATGGCGAAGATTGTTTTTAATCGACAATGAGTCACGTTTAAAAACATTTTATTAAGTTTGAAATGTTCGAACCTGTTTTGTCTCTCTCTCTCTCTCTCTCTCTCTCTCTCTCTTCCTTTTGGGGTTTTAATTTGTGAGTGGAAAATTTTTTTATTATTATTCGAACGCCGAATGATGATGATGATGATGATGATGATATCATTTACATAACATGCATTAAACTTGTCTGATGATGATATCATTTACATAACATGCATTAAACTTGTCTGATGATGATGATGATTTTATTCATATGAAGGTGACATTTAATTATTAAATTGCATATAAAATCACTCGTGGTGGAAACATGTCTGGGGTTTTTTATTTATATTTCGCTTTTTGTTAATCGTCGTAAAGTTTTTCTTGGATCGGGAAAATTATTTTTCTCGGGAAATTTTTTTTTTAGTCGGTTTTGAATGTACGCAACGTGTGCGTGTGCGTGTGCGTGTGCGTGTGCGTTTATTTATGTCTTACCTAACGTCAATGGATTTTTTGATAAACGTAAAAGCGCGATGTCGTTTTTAATTGTTGTCGTATTCCATTTTTCATGGGGTATAACTTCTGCAATTGGTATATCTTCGGGAGTGTCCAAACAAACATCTCTGGCACAATCCGTTGCGTTGGTCAAACTGTGCTCTCCGAGTCTCACGTATTCGCTAAAATTGGTTTTTTCAATTAAAAATTTTGTTTTTTTTTGTTACGTAGCTCGTGGAATTATCGATTACTTACACGGTTCGATTATCTACTATCAGGCAGTGGGCAGCGGTCAAAACGTACCATCCGGTAATTAATGTTCCCCCACAATTCCATCTATAATTTCCATATTTGTCTAAAAATTTAAATCATTTTTCCTTTCGATTAGTTTTTTTTATGAAATGATGATGATGATGATAATTAAATTGATGTTACCTTTAACTCCGGTCAAAGCCATCCAAGGATATTCACCAAGAGATACTTCTTCGCCTTCGGTGATTCTATTTGCAAAATTATTAACACCGCAATGAGATTCCGAGGGTAATAATTTAAAATTTCGATGAGAAGTCAATGAAATTTTAGGAGGTTTTTTTTTCAAACTTATAGGTTGGAGAAGAGGTTGAGGACGAAATGAGGATACTTGAGCGGAAGGAGGTCTCCCTGGTGCGGATGTCTCGGGTGGTAAAGTCGGTTTTTTCTGGTTTTTTAAATTATCATCAGTGTGAACGTAAATGCCGGACGGAACAAGGAAATAATTTGTTTCTTGAGTGGTCGCGTTATTGTTTCCTTTTTTGAATTTTTTCAAATTATTTTCCGTGGGGGTCGTAGGAAACGAGTCCAATTCATCCGGACAGTTGTCTTCGTACCTTCTATTGTTCACTTCGCGTCTTCTAAAAGGTTTAGGTTTTGAATTTTTAGGCGGACAACATATTTTACCCTTTTCACCGCAGCGAAAAAGAACCTGTTCCGTACCTCTGGTCGCATGTCGAGCCGCACATTCGTTTGTTGTTATGCAAGTGTATGGACAGGCACAAAGTCGGTCTCCGGAAACGCTCCCATAAGTATTTTGAACACCGTTCACTGAAAATTTATTTTTATTTTGACACTTTATCCATCACTTCGCGATTTTCAATAAATAATTATTTCCTCGAATTAAATTTTTAAAAAAATAAATGATTTATAAAATTATATATATAAATGGTCGTTATCCGGTGGTGTCAGTCACTTTTTCGTGACCTCGCCGACCGCGAAAACATTTTTTATGTTTGCCGCAAACAAAATAACGACAACAACAACAACAATATAATGACCCGTCGATGATTAGAGTCGTTGTCAAAGTTGTATACAAAACAACTTGATTTCCTATATATATATATTTAATATAATCATTATTGAAACTCACCTGATGTTAATGATAATAATAATAATAATAATAATGAAAATAACATAAACGCGGTAAAACAGCGCCGTCGCATAAAAACAATCATCATTTTCATCCGAAATTCTTCATTCGAATAATTTTTTTTTTTTTCTTTTTTTTTTCTCTCTCTCTCTTTCTCTGTCTCTCTCTCGCGCGCGAGACTTGATTATTATTATTATTCTTATTCACAAGTGAATTTTTCCCACTTTTCTCAACTTGAATTTTCGCAACAACAACATATAATATTTTAATAAAGTCGAAAGGCTAAACATTTAAACTACGCCGACGACGGCATTAGAAATAAATAAAATCGGGTTAAACAAACCTTTTTTATTTATTTACCCGATTATTATTATTATTAATACTTATTTTATTACTTAAATATTAAAATAATAAAAATACATTTCGATTCACTTGAAAAAAAAATAAAAAATTAATTGACCTTGGCTTTAAATAATTAAATGAACAAGTCTTTGTGTGTGTGTGTGTGTTGTTGGAAAAATAATAATTTAAATCGTGTTTTGGTCGATTGTTTGTTTGTTTGTTTGTTTGGTTGTTTCGTTTTTCCTCATTGGTGGTGGCTTTCTTTGAGATAACAACTTTTTTTTTTTTTGGAATGGAATGGAATTTGTTACTTTTATCTTATTAAAATATTGAAATGCAAAAATTTTCGAATGATTTTTAGTCGTGTGGTAAACAACAACAACAATCACAATTTGTTGTTTGTGTGTTTGTTTGTTTGTTTTAGATGATTCGTTAAACGTATTTGATAATGATTAGGTAACTTTTGTTGAAAAGAAGAAGAAAAAAGTAAAATAAAATATATTTGTCGTTATAAGGTTTAATTTTATAAATTAATAATGCATGTTATCTAGTATCCAGTCCATGTAATAGCCCACTCTCGTGTAAACCCCTGGTCTCTCTTTGAGTCCGCACGTTATGGGTCCGAAAGACACGATGCCAAATTGAACGTAATTAAAATCTCCCTGAGAGGTTTGTGCCAATCTTTGCAATGGTCCCCCGCTGTCGCCGCTACAAGAATCCCTTATGTCAACGCCCCCGGCACAAATTTGTTTTTCCGTGATTCGTACCAATTTACTATATTGTTGAGCACATTTTTCTAACGGTTGAACTGGTACCTTTACCTTCAACAATATCGAACTTATCGTACCTTGAATTTAAAGAAAAAAATGTTAAATTATTATCTATAAAAGTGTTGTTGTTGTTGTTGTTAGTCAATCGAGTCCATCATCATCATCATTTTACCATTTTCAGTAGCTCCCCAACCAGTCACGGTTAGTTGTTCACCTTCTAAACTTCTTTCTTGTTGGGTTTTTCCAATTGGTAAACATATGGGACTCACGGCTAGAAGAAAAGAAAACAAAACAAAATTGTTTTTACGAAGGAAAATTTAAATTGAATTGAAATTTTATGAGAATGTTCTCGATTCTTACCGTCGGTAAATATTACGTTACGATCGAGTCTTACCAATCCAATATCATTCCTTACATCTGCTCGATTGTAATTTGGATGAACTATTGCTTCGTCAATTCCTATGTTTTGTACAGGTGGACCACATCCGGTATCGACTTGACAATCGATTTCCGTATCTAAATTATGTTCCCCTAATCTTACCTGTTTCCTGTTGAGGAAAAATCGATTGGATTAATTTTTAAGAATATTATTATTATTATTTAATGTAATTTTTTTTGTACAAACAATTGTAATTCAGAAGACGTTTTGATACAATGTGCAGCTGTCAATACGTAACGGATGTTTATGAGGGATCCACCGCAACGATATTGCAATCCATTTCCTGTAAAAACATTTTTGTCTCGTCAGTACTTCCGGGGAAACGTTTGTCTCCCTTTTTCGCATAACTACAATTCTCAAAACATTTAATTTTTTTTTTTTTTTTGTTTCCTACAGGATGATCTTACTCGTATTATATCCCAAAAGTGCCATCCATGGAAATTCAAAAAGATTGGATGCGTTTCCTCCAGTTATTTTTTCTTCGGTGAAAAAACCACAAGAACGTGGCAAATACCTGTCGACTCCCGGATGCCTGGAAACATCTTTCGCACCCGTTTGTATCGGTAAGTTCAAAGTCGGGTCAAAGGGTTTCTAAAAAAAAAAAAAAAAAAATAAGGTTTAAAGGTCAAGGTCAGGGGGAGAACGGAAACGGAAGTTCGTTTTCAATTACGGGTTCATTGTCGAATTCGTTTCTATCTAAAGGACAACAAACGAGAGGATTCCTTCCGACGAATCCACAACTTGATCTCCTTAAAAATGTAATGGCGTCGGAATTTGTAGATCCGGAAGTTTGTAATATTTTTAACAGTGGTTCGCATCTTCTTATTTGTATGCATTTCCCCGGTTTGTCGTTGGGTGTAGTACACGGACTGTTGTTATTTTTTTCTGGAACAACAAACTTGATTTGTACCTGACAGGTTGTCGTTATTATTTTTACAAAAAAAAAAAAGGAGGCTAACCAGATTTGAAATTATTCCGTTCGTAAACAAACGTATTATTATCATTATCATTAAATTTTCCTTATAATAAAAGTAGACGTTGTATGATTATTATATCGTTCGTACTCAGGTTTTAAGGTACTCCAATGTCAACTTTTCTCTTTTTTTCGTTTTAAAAATAAATACGGTACAACCGCTAATAAAATATTAAATTTACAAAAAGAAAAAATTTCTCTTCTGCTATTAAAAATAAAATTTTTAAATTAATGATAATACTACTAATAATAATAAAATATTTATAAAAATTTTTGACGAAAATTCCGAGCTCGAGGTCATTTATTATTATTATTATTTTAAGGTACGCATTTTTTTTTTTCAAAAATGAATTTATTCCTGAAATTTTTCGAAATCGAATGATGCCCGTGACGTATTTTACAATTTCACGCACTCACGTCATTTTTTTAAGTAGGGGGGTTAAATTAAGAAATTAACGGGGAGAGGGGAGGGGGGGTGGGAAAAAAAAGAATTAGGTTTGTTTTTATTTACTTACGTGCTCCAGTCGAATTCCATAAAAGGAAAATAAAAATGACTCCAACGTTTTTATTTAACTTATTCATTGTCACTTAAATACACTCTCGATGGAATAATTTCAAACAACTGGATAATTTTTTTTTTTTTTTTTTTTTGTTAAATTTAATCTCACGTGGATTCACATGCATTCACATAATCGAATCATCCGCCAACGGTCCGAGTTGTGGTTGTTGTTGTTGTTGTTGTGTTTGTTGTTTTGTCTCATGATGTTGTCATTATTATTATATTGTGTGTGTGTGTGTGCTACAAAAATTGGTACACATGTTTTTAAATAACATGTTGGCAGTAGGAGAAAACAGGCATAACTGAGACAGAGAGAGAGTGAGAGAGAGACAGAGAGAGAGAGTGAGATACAGAGAGAGAGAGAGAGAGAGACACACACGGTGGACTTTAAATTTATGTGTAATAAAAAAAAAACTATTAAATATCCGGTTAATTAATTTTTATTTAAGATACGATGAGGTTACGTTGGTATTGAGGATCCCTTCTTTTCTACCCTTCTCACTCTTTCCTTCCCCCCTGCCCACCCCCCTCACTCCTTAACCCCCGTCGTGCCTGATTCGTTTTTGGGGGAGAGGGATTTCGCAAGGAAAAAAAATATTTGAGATTTTTAGTGAAAAAAAAAAAAAGGGATTTTTATTTTGTTTAATGTTAATTCTCCAGCATTGAGTTTTTCTCCAGTTGATTTTAATTATAAAAAAAACAGGTACACGTGTCGTTTGACGTCACAGTTAAAAATTTCTTTATCGTAAACTCGTCGGAATGATGATGATGATGATGAAAAAACATTTTTATTGCTTTTTTTTTTTATTCCTCCATGGATTCAAGATGGAGGATTTTTTGGAATAAATTTTAGGAAAAAAATTTTTTTTTTTTTTTTTTTAATTTTCCGCGAACGTTTTTCACGACCTCGGTTTTTCGCTTTAGATTTAATTGAATTTATTTTGTCAAAGGAAGAGAGAAAAGGTTAAATTTTGTAACCTCTGACCCCTGTGTGCGTACGTAATCACAATTGTTGTCATTAGACTTTAAGCCTTGACTTTATATATACGGGATGAATGGATTTTATTGATTTGTTTGTTGTTTAATCGATCTATCGATAGATCGATCAATCGATCATTTCACAAAAAAAAAATCGTTAAAAAATTTTTTTTTTTTTTTTTTTTATTTAAATAATAAATTTCGTATGAAAAATTTTAGGGGGAATGAGGGAAAATTTTACGGTTTCATGTTGTCCAGTATCCATTCGACGTATTCGGATACTTTCGTATAAACTCCAGCAACGTTTTTTTCACCGCAGGATTCGGGTCCGAATGAAACGATACCTTGGACCTGCCATCTGACTTGATTATCAATTATCGTGCTTTTCATTAAAGGTCCTCCGCTGTCGCCCTGACACGAATCTTTTCCTTTTTCACCTCCGGCGCACATCTTTATACAAAAAAAAAAAATAGAACAGAAAATTATTTCCTGTTGCTGTTGCTGTTGTTGATAAATTTTAATTGCAATTATTAGACTTTAAACTCACTTGAGTTTCGAGAAGGTCGATGTTTAATTTCCTGTAAAATTTTGAACAATCTTCCAAATTAACACCGGGTAAAGTAACTTTTTGTTTTATTTTACTCGATTTGCTTCCGTCTGGAAAATAATGAATGAAAACATCATGAGATACTCTGAAGAATAATAATAATAATAATTTATTATTTAAACTCACGTCCGTTTGATGTTTTACCCCATCCGGCGGTCGTAAGTTTTTCTCCAGTGATATTTTTAACGCTTCCATTTAATGGTAAACATATCGGACTCACGTATGCTGGAAAAAGGAATATTTTTTTAAACGAAGATGTACAGCAAAAAAGTTTTCCAGTCGAGAAAAATAATTTTTCACTCACGACTATTTTTAACATCGTCACGAAGTCTTATCAAAGCAATATCGTTACGTTGTGCTCTATCAGTCGATCTGTACCTGGGATGAACAATAATATTATCGACAGGAGCATCGATAGGAGTCTGACTGCATATTTCACCTTGACAATCTTTATCCGAGCTTAAATCGTATTCACCGAGTCTAACCTTGGTACTGGAATTTTAAATGAAAATTACGAAACGTTTCATTTTGGAGAAAAAAGGGAAGGAAGAACGTTTTAATGGATTCTCACACTTTTATGTTATTTTTTATGGAAGGTCCTTTTATGCAATGAGCAGCCGTCAAAACGTATTTTGATGATATCAGAGAACCGCCGCATCCGAAACCCAAAGAATTTCCACTTTCTAGTGGAAAAGGAAAATTTTATTACGACGGATCGGAAAAGTTTTTTTTTTGATTATGTGAAAATTATCAAGTACCTGACGTGTGCTGGAGTAATGCCATCCATGGAAATTCATCGAGTTGTGCGTTTGTTCCACCTAAAATTTTATTACCGAGATCTACGCCGCACGAATCGACTGGAATTAATTTTATGTTAGGATGACGATTAAAATTTTTACCATACGTGCGATTATTCGATTTGTTCGTGTCTTTAGAAAATTGATTTCCGGTTTCGTTTTCATCGTCTGCAAAAAGAAAATTATATCAACGAACGATACGAAATTGAGGTTATAATGTTGGTACGACGATGGATACAAACGGTTCGAGTTGGGTTTTGATGAATGATCATTTGGCCAATTCCAGGAATTTCCAGCTGGAGTGGTAGAACTGGTGTTTCTGTCGGGTTTTTTCGAATTTTTTTCAGGTCGTGTTGGTTCTTTCCTCGACGGTTTATCGATTAAACTCATGTGTTCACCGTGAGAATGATTAGGGCGACGAGAAGGTTTTGTCGTTCCAGTGGTTGTTTGAGGTTTTCCATTTCCGTTTGGCCTGGATTTAGTGTTTTCATCATCATCATCATCGTTTTGTACATATTGTCGATGGGGGGGTTCAGGTTTGTTAAAAAATTCTTGTTGCGAAATTTCTTTTAAATTGAAAAATTTTCCCCCGTTATTATTATTATTATTGCCATCATTTGATGCCACGTGGTAATTTTGATAAATTGAATATTGTGAACTTTGTTGACCTGTAATAAATTCGTTATTAAAACTCGTAGGTTTGTGAAATTCTTGGAAATCATCATTTGGTGGTGGTAATTTCGAATTGAAATCCTTTCTGTGAAAATGAAAACTTTCTTCTCTTGATGGCCTGAAGGAATTTCCATTAACGAAGAGTTCTTGACCATTAAAATAATTTACACCAGAGGTTGTTGTTGTTGTTGTTGTTGTCAACGGTCTGTTATTCGGTTGTTTATTGAAATTATTATAATTGTTGAGATATTGATTTCCATTTTGAAAATTTTGATTTAATGGGCCCGGAGGTCTTCTGCCATTGAAATGTTGAAAAGAACCAGAAGGATCATATCCGGTTCCTAAATTTAAATTTCCGGTCGAGGGATTGTAAGGCGTCGGTCTCCCTAAATTTTCATTATTGTTAAAATAAGAATTTGAACCCATGGAATTTTGATGATGATGATGATGGTTCGGTTTGAAATTTTGATAATCGGGATGAAAATTCGTATTACCCCCATTCGTAAAATGAGAATTTTCCGGTTTGTTGTGATGAAAATTCACCGACAACTCCTCACCGTATCCCACATTCGAATTGACGGGTTTTTTATTTTTCCGCGGCGGGTGTTTTTCCGAATTTTCCACGTCTAATATTAAATACTCGTCATCTGTGGCAAAAATATTTTCGGTTCTTCTCGGCTGAAAAAAATTTCCATTACGTATTTGATTGTTTTTGTTTGTCGGTTGTTCGAATCCAACAACAACATCACTTTCCCGATTTTCATTATTCGTTTGTCTTTTTTGTCGCGAAAATAATTGTCTCGCGTTAAATTTTTTTTCATTTAAAACGATTTCATCCCTTTCTAAATTTTCCAATTCTTTAACGTTGAAATTTTTATGTCTGTTCAATCTGTAATTATGAAAACGTAATTTATCACCGTTGAAATGATTTTTTATAAAGTTTGCGTGGTTGTTATCCCCACCCCCACCCCCACCACCACCGCCGCCATTACTGTTATTTTTCTGCTTTGGAAAAAGTTCTTCGATATTAATAAAATTAACGTTATTTATTGTTTTTTTCATTCCCCCGTTTGTTTGTTGTTGTTGTTGTTTATTTCTCCCGTTTGTTTTTTGTTTATTTTTTTGATTTTGATTGTTTCCTCGTTTGTCGTTATTCGAATCGTTTGTTCTTTCCACTTTAAAATCATATATAGAACTTTGTTCGAAAGGAAATATAAGTTTTTCCGGAAAGGATTCAACGTCATCACTTCGAGCTACTAATTCGTCATTTAATATAAATTTTGATTCTTCCCAGGGTAAAAATTTCGATTCTATAACTGATTCCTGCTCTTCTCGGTGTCGACCTACTATTTTCAAAGGTGTGGCAGTTGGAACAACAAAATCGGGGATTTCGTGTCGCGTAAAATGATCCCGTACAAAACCGCCACCACCATGGTCGATTTGAAAATTATAATCGTGTTTTCGAATCCCTTCCGGATCCCCGTGAAAATATTCTTCGTGTTTTTCATTCGATTCTTTTTCAAATTTGTATCCGTAGTCGATGATGGGTATCGATATCCTCTCATCATTTAAATCCCCGATAATTTCATGGAATCTTTTATTTGGATTCGTTAAAAATTCACTGGGTACATGGAACGGTACATTTTTCCATTCCGACCCTGATTTTTCATTATTCAAAACGGTATCTAAAAATTTAAAAAGCGAAAAAAAAAAAAAATTTTCATTATGACGTCACAATTTAAGTGTTAAAAATGACATAATAAGATCACGTTCAATTTTTATAAATTTGTACGAAAAAAGAAAACCTTGATGTTGTAATGGGAAATTACGTAAACTACAATTACTACCACTCATGTACTCTACCTCGAATAATTTTTTTCATTAAAAAAAAAAATGGCGACTTTACTATTATTATTATCATCATCGAGAAGTAAATCGTAGGACAAAAGGGAATTTATTTATTTACGAAAAATTTACGGGAAAACCTAATGAAAAATTGATTTTTATGAAAAAAATCTGGATAGAATAATGCTAAAAATATCAAAGGAATTTTTTAAAACATGCAAAAGCAGAAGACAAAAAGGAAAAAAAAAATTTTTTTCGATTGAAAAAGAAAAAAGAAGAAGAATAAAGCAAAAATAAGAAAAAAAAAAAAAAAACAAAAACTCACGAGAAATGGAAAATCCGTTAACGAAAAAAAAAAAAAATTTAAATAATAATAATAATATTAATAAAAACAAACAATTTCCATCGACGATCATGATTAAATGAAAAAAAAAAAATTTTTTTTTTAAAATTTTCGAACAGGTTTTAACAAACCGAAATCAAATCGTAAAATAAAAACAAAATGTCGGATTCGTTTATTTTATATATAATACACATAATAGTAACCGAAATATCCGAGAAAAAATAAATTATTAATGACGTAGTCGTCGTCGTCGTCGCCGTCGTCGAACCGTTACAACAATAAGAACAACAACGTGCAAAAAAGTTATTATTATTATTATTATTATTATTATTATTATTATTTTATATAGAAATTTTTTCTACGTTTTAAACACGTGAGAAATATAGAAAACAAAATGGCTACTCTTCTCATTTGAACGTAACGTTCGGATTTTTTTTTTTTTTTTTTTAATTGAATTTATTCAAGGTTGTTAATAAACAAACAAATCAACCAACAAACTTTTGTAATGTTAAATGAAGTGAGACAGAAAATAATAAAAATCTTGCTGGAAAAACAAAATATAAATCAAAAAGAGAGAGAGAGAGAGAGATTAATACGTACTGGACAAACGAAAAAATTTTTTTATTTTTTATTTACTAGGAATAAAAGTTCTAGGAATTCAGGTAATCTGGATTAGTTTTAAAAGGTAACAAACAAACAAACAAACAACCTTTTGTTTTATCTTCGACAAATTTTGCTCAACCCGTATGTACTGGATTACGCACGTATTTTTCATAGCAAAAAAAAAATTTAATTAAAATCATCATCATTGTCGTCATCACCTGGTTTTCAGGTACGAAAACAACCGACGACGATTTCTCAGAATGTTTTTCTTTTGGCGTACAGGTAGTAAAGACGACTTGTATGTAGTCGATCGATTTATTATCGAATCGTTTTTTTTTTCATTCGAGATCTCGTTCTTTTGAGAAATCGTCGCAACCGTGTGTGGTTGTTGTTGTTGTTGGCGTCGTCGTGTAGTTCAGGATAAAATGGATTTAATAATAATAATAATAAAACTTGTTTTCCCTTGCGGGAGATTTAATTAGCAATTCTTAAGAAGATTACCCACCTATCCTACGGGGAATGCCCCGGAGATTTTCCAAAAGTTTCTTTTTAAGGTTTATTAACATGATCATCAAACTGGAAGAAATAATAATGATAATGATAATGATAATACCCTTACAGTCTTTTACCGTTAAAGGTTCGTAAATAAATAAAAAATTTTTTGTTTGTTTGTTTATATATATAATAATAATGATTAAATAAAAACGAAATATACAATAAAAAATACGTATATAAATAATAATAATAATAGTAAGGGGAGGGGGGCGTTAATTTCGCATGTTGTCGAGTATCCAATCGGAATATTGTGTAACGTTTGTATATAAAGATGGACGATCTTCGACACCGCATGCTGCAGGACCCGATGAAACGATACCTATAAGGTACCAATGAATTTCGTTATTTTTAACTTGTGTCGTCATCAAAGGACCCCCGCTATCACCCTGGCAAGAATCTCTTCCTCCTTCTCCTCCAGCGCAAAACTTGAAAAAAAGAAAAATCTCGATGACGTTTTTTGGAAATAAAATGTGGGCGGGGGGCGGGTGTAGGGTAGGGGGAGGAACTTCTTACTTGTCCTTCTGTTATTTCTAAATCACCGTAAAAAGATTGATAAAATTGGTAACACTGATTCCAGTTAACGATGGGTAAATCGACTTTCATTTTAACACTGCTGGAAGAATCTCGTGCTGGAAAAATCAAGGGGAAAAATTTAAAGTTTTTGTTTTTGTTTTTGCTAAAGCAAAATGGTTGATTACCGTTCGATGTTCTTCCCCAACCGGAAACGGTTAATTTTTTCCCTTCGTAATCTGTATTTTCCGGTAGTGTGAAGGGTAGACAAATCGGTTGAACGTATTCTGCGTAATAAAAAAAAAAAAAAGAAAATTTTGTTCATCGTTTTCTCGAAAAAAATTATAAAATGATTACGATTAAAAAGGATATTACGATTTAATTTAGCTTCTTCTTTTAATCTTATCAATGATATGTCGTGACTTTGAGATTTTCCTCTCGGTAAATAATTTTCATGCGGTATGATTTCTTCGATTTCAATGTCTTGTACAGGACTGCTGCAAACCTCTCCCTGACAATCCTTATCCGATGATAAATCCCATTCTCCCAACCTAACCTTATCCCTAAAAAAAAAAAAAAAAAAATTCGCATAAAGATGGGATGCTGATAAGGATAAAAATAATAAATAATAATAATAATTACAATTTTAATTTTCTTGTAGTTATAGCAACTCCATGAGTACAATGTGCTGCCGTGAGAACGTATCTTTTTGATATTAATGCCCCCCCGCATGAATGACTTATCCTTTGAGTAGCTGGAACAAAAATAATAATAATAATAATGAAAATGTTTTTTTTTTAAAGTTATTGATCGACGTTATCACACAAATATTTTTTTTTTTATTAATAAATTGCAAGGTCACGGGCACGAGAATTATTATCTTAAGAGAGAGAGAGAGAGAGAGAGAGGAAAATTTTTTTTTGTCAACTTACGATCCGTGTACTGCAGCAAACAAAGCCAAGGAAATTCGTCAATGTCTGTCGTTGTACCACCGATAATACGTCTAGGAGTGTCCAATCCGCAAGTTTCTTCTTCTAGAACGTTACGTTTCGAATTTGTTTTTTTTCCCGATTTTGTATTGTTTAAATTCCTCGAATTTTCCGGATCGATATCGTCGTTGGTTTCGAACGACGTCTTACCAGAATTTTCATCCATTTCCACCAGCTTTTCAAATTTTGCTTTGTTTTTCATTTGATTTTTCTTAGGGTTGTGGTGTTTTTCTTTCTTGTGATTTGATTTTCCAATTCTTTTGTGTTGTTGTTCACCAATGTCATCACCGTCGAATCGTTTTTTCGAATCGTTTTTTTTTTTATTATTGTTTGTCGATTGTCTTTGTTCGTTTGATTCCCCACGAGATGATTTATCCCTTGGAAAATCATCTTTTTCCACATGTTGTTCATTTTCCACGTTCGTATCATCTTTTATTTTTTTTACATTATCCAAAAAAATAATTTTATCTGTCGTCAATTCTAAATAATCGTCGTGTTGTCTTCCTGATTCGAAATTTTCAATATTTTTCCCAATTTTTTGTGATGGATTTTTTCTCCCATCTTCGTTTTCCATAATGACGCCATCTTGAAAATTTTCTATACTACCTCGCACTCTTTCGAAATTATTTTCTAAATATCGTTCGTTTCCATGCCATTCTCTTCTGGCTTCTAAAAATTTTATAACTTTTTTTTCTCTTTCTTTTCGAAATTTAAAATTTAAAAAAAAAATTTATTTTAAAATACTCACTTCCGTTTGTGAAATCCGTTCCTAAAATTAATATCACGAAATAAATTATTTTCATCTTTTACCGACTTTTTTTTTTTTTTTTAATTAAAATAATTAATTTATTTAAATGAATGTATATATATATTAAAAAATGTTTTCATTATCCTACGACGTTTAATGTAACACTGAAAATAGTTTTTTTTAATAAGGTAAAAGGTTAAGGAAAAACTCGATTAATCGAATCATAAAATGGGAAGTCCATAAAAATTTAAATTTCCTTCAATAACCGTTATTACGAAAACTTATTATTATTATTATTAATTAAAATTATGTATTTATGTAATCGTAAAACGTAAATTTATTTATTAAAATCTTTAAAAAAAGTTTTTTATACTTAATTATTTTATTCCAATGAATTATTTATTAATCAATTTGATTTTTAATTATTATATTAACGTTTTTAAAAGTGTTCCGGAACGAAGTATTTTTTAAAATGGCGGTTAAAAAGCTTTTTTTACTAAAATTTATGTTGGCTGCAATTGTGTTCGTTACATAATTAGTTAATTTTATCTTCTGCTGCCGCCAATATGAAAAGTTTGTACTACCAGTAATAATTAAATTATTTTTTGTTTGTTCGTTATATTTTTTCTACGGGAATGGGTAATAAATCAATTTTAATGTTTAATAAAATTAATCGTCAACCTGGAAAACGTTTTGTTAAGAATCTGTTGGATTTTTCAATAAGGGAAAATCATTATGATATTGCCATTGCGGGAGGAGGTTTGGTGGGTACTTCGATGGCGTGTGCTGTTGGTAAATGTTACATTTTAGATTTAATTTTAAATTTCCCATAAATTCTTACCTTAGCTTTAACCGTCGCGATAAATTTATCCGAGGCGAAAGTTCAACGTTTCGTATGAATAAAAATGCAATTTGAATTTATACAATTTGAAGTATTTATCAATAAAACTTAATTTTTGGTTTCAGGTAAAAATTCTAAATTGTCAGAAAGTAAAGTGATTTTATTTGAATCTGCATCGCAAAAAAGTTTTAAGAAAAAAGCAAAAGATGACGAATACAGTAATAGAGTGGTGTCGATTAATCCGGGAAGCAAAAAATTTTTAGAAAATATCGGAGCTTGGAAGTTTATCAGTGACTTAAGGTATAAGACTGTCAAAAAATTACAGGTGAATAATTATAGTTTAATATTTAAATAATATTATCGAATAACAATATGTAACAATACACACACCATTCTGAATAATTAAATTAGGGTTTAAATGTTCGAAAAGTTTTAATTCGAATTTTTTTTTTTTTTTTTTTTCATAAAAATTATCGATATGTGCAAACATTAATTTTTTTCGATTTTCAATTAAAAATTCTTTAAGTTATATTTTATAAGGTATTTAAATAATTAGGTTTAACATAAAGAACCTAATTATGTAAATTTCAGGTATGGGATGCATGCTCTGATGCATTAATAACTTTCAATGATGATTTAATGAAGGATGTTTCATACATTGTTGAAAATGATCTTATCTTAAATGCTCTAGAAGAAGTTTGTTCGAATTTGAAAAATGTCACAGTTAAATATGAGAGTAGGATAAAAAAAATTGTACCACCATCTGATAAAAACAAAATGGTTCATTTGGAAATGGAAAATGGAGATGAATACACATGCAATCTTTTGGTAAGAAATAATAATTTTTTATTTATCAAAGCATTTCGTTAATGCGCTTATTTACTATTCATGTATTTTTATTTATCATGCTACTTGTTTCTTTTTTTTCTTTTACTGACATAAATTTCATGTCTCGAATGTGGAAATCTGTTCCTTTCAAAATAATTTGTTATGAATTCAGTTTTAAGAACAGGGCTTTGAATGCCTCTTCTTTCCGATACACATTTGTATGCTTCTTTGACCAATTCTTTAGGAATTCTCTTTTCCCTTGGATCATTCGGTTTAATAATTAATGTGAATTGTCTGGGTGATGATAAAAGCAAAGCACTCCTGTGGCAAACTCTTAAAATTTTTTTCGGAATCCAATTTAATAATCTTGAAAACAACATGCTTTCCATGTATGCAACAAGTTCTACCTGACGAGTGAGTCTATCAAGTCCTGCAGATGTTTGAAGTCCCTGAATGTCACTAACGGATAACCCTACTAATAAATTGGTTAAAACAACTGTAACTATAAGTGTAAAGAATAAGAAAAATATGTGTGACGTTCCTGGATAATATAAGGGATCTTCGCTGTTGAAAAATATATCTTCAAATTCTAGCTCTCCCGTCATCATGGCAACGATTTTTACAATGCTGTTAATTGTACTGTTGAAAGATGGATATTTGGGAAAAAGCATTCTAAAACTAAATGAAAATGCGGCGAGCAAACAGAAATAAGCCAAAAGGAATTTTCCGAAATTAACGGCGCCTTTGGTAAACATTTGAACGTACAAGCCGAACATGGGGAATCTCCCTATCAAAACCATTAATTCTATCCAGTTGAAAAAAATTCCGAAAACTGCAATGTGATGCTGCCACGTTACAAATTTTAAACTCAACCAGTTGGGAGGAACTAAAGTGACAAAAACTGCTAAAATGATTAGCCACTGCAACCAATTTTCCCATTGGTATATATAACCTCTTCTTATGTGTGCTATTTGAAAAAGTTCTTTGCCTAAAATGGAAAAGTTGCAAACGAGTAATACGTAGCTGACGTAGCGAAAACTCATCGGAATAGTACATTTTTTAAAATCTGCACAACTGTCTAAAAATATTCCTAAAATATAAAGGGAACATAAAACAACGTAACAAGCGTGAACGATCAAACTAAAAGCGAAATATTTTCTAATTCTCCGCCATTTTAAAAATAAAAAAATTTCACACAGCGGATGTTTGAGAATTTCTCTTTGGCCAACTTCAATGAACGTCAAGAGGAGACCAGTTTCACCCGAAGACAAACTCGGCACAAGGACTCTGAAATCTAATTTTATTTCACAATCGACATCTCCTATTTCGTGATCGTGAAGCCTTATTCCTTGATCTAATTTTCTTTCAAGGTATTTTAAAATTTCCGGTGTTCTACGAGCAATGAATGAAAGTGCCGAAACATTTCCGTTTGTTCTTTTGGTCACGTCACCGCCGTGGTCCAAAAGTAATTTTAGACAGTTTGGAAATTCGTTGAGAGCAGCTATGTGTACCGGAGTGTAACCAAACACGTCGGGAGCATTAACTTTGGCTCCGTACTGCAGGAGTAACTGCACGCTGTCGCAAGATCTTGAACTTTTAACAATGGCGCAGTGAAGAGGAGTTCGTTTGTCTATGTCTTCGGCATTTGGATCAGCTCTGTGCATCAGCAATAATTCTAAAGTTTGGACCGATTGTGCCAACGCGGCCAAATGAAGCGGTGTTTGAATTCTGTTGGTTCGTGACATTAAATCAGCGCCGGCTTCTATCAAAAGTTTAGCACATTCCGCATTTCCATCTTCTGCGGCCAAGTGCAATGGTGTCGATTTGGCAGTTCCGAATTTAACTCGGAAATCCGCACCGTGGTCCAAAAGTAATTTTAAACAACTTGCAAAACCCATTGCTGCGGCGACGTGAAGAGGAGTTTCCGTGTAAACTTGAGACGTATTAATGCTGGCATTCCTTTTCAAAAGCTCTTCAACGCAATTAATAGAATTGCTTAAAACGGCATAATAAAGTGGAGTTTTACCAAAACCCGTGGTCGTCAAACCCGCGTCAAGAATAGCTCCCGCATCCAAAAGCAATTTTAAACATTGGATATTACCGACGCTGGCAGCGCAATGAAGCGGAGTTATAACACCTTCTTTGTTCCACACGTTCGGCATGGCTTTGTGATCCAATAAGATTTTGACACATTCTGCAGAACCTGCGCAGCAAGCAAGGTGCAAAGGAGTTCTAGAAATTTAAAGAACTTGAGTACATTCATTTAAAATAAATAAAAAGAAATAAACTAAATTCGTGTATCTACATCTCACCTTCCTTCCCTGTCTCGAACATTCACCACCATGGATCTTCTCAAAATTGCTTGAAGGAGTTCAGCATTTCCTGAAAAACTAGCCAATAACAATCCAGTGAGTGAAGAATTCGGATGAGACAAAACTCTTTTGTAATCTCGAGCTGCTATTAAACTCTGAAGTTCTTGACTTCCGGGTAATATGTTCAATGATTCCAAAATTTCTTTCTTATGCCAAATTTCCTAAAAAGAAAAACAGGGGGGGAAAAATGTCTCTTGAAATTTTTTTTCTTTTTGTTTTTTTTCTAGTAAGGTACTTACTTGAATTTGCAGGGATTGTGGTTGATCGGTATCATTTCCGGCCGCGCCGATTTCTTCCGTTTCATTCGAGACGTTGTCGTCATCGTCGTCGTCGATGACTTCTTGTTCTTCTACGTCGCCTTTTTTTCCAAACGATTTTTCTCCTTTCTAAAAAAAAAAAAAAAAAAAAAATGACGTTTTCCGTTCATAATGTTTTTCTCTAGTCGTACATTATTTAAAAAAATTTTTTTTTAAGCGAAAAAAAGAAGATACAAAATGGTCTCTCTCTCTCTCTCTTTTTTTTAATTGTAAATAAACATGTTGCCAGTTTATGGTCGATTAGCATTAACGCTTCACTGACAAGGGCCAAATAATTGTCATCATCATCATCATAATAATAATAATAATAATATTTAATCTCGATTGTCATCTGCCAAAAATATTTTTTAATTTAATTTTTGTGATTTCGACTCTTTTTTTTTTAATAAGTTTCAATTTATAATTTTATCTCTCTCTCACTCACTCTCTCTCTCTCTCTCTCTCTCTCTCTCTCTCTCTTTTAAACATTTTCGGTCGTCAAAAAAAATTTTTTTTTTTTAATTAATTGTAAAATTGATGAACATTTAATTGGGTGAATTTATTTTATTTATTTATAAATTATTTATAACAAATTTTTTTTTTTATTTATTATAATACTCATTATTATTATTATTGTTTCGAGTTTGGAATGATGATGACGATGATGGCAATGATGATGACGTCGATCAATCATAAAATGGAATAATTTTGAATGTATTTATTATTATTATTATTATTATTATTATTATGTCGGCCTAATTTAAAAAATTTAATTTCGAAATTATTTTATTACCGTCGCAAAAAAAAAAATTTTTTTTATTATTGCCATGTCGTATTTATATTTAATGTAAAAATTATTATTATTATTATTATTATTATTATTATTATTATTATTATTATTATTATTATTATTATTATTATTATTATTAATTATTATTATTATTATCGATTGTAGGTAGATTTAAACGTCGGCGAGAGAAAAAAATAAAAAAAATAAAGCAGAAAACTTACCAAATTGTCGATTCCGTTCGGATTAACCGTCGATTTTATTAATTTTTTAAAATTTGCGGGTTTTCCACAGTGAGGACAAAATTCCACATCATCATCATCATCATTATCATCGTCGTCGTCGTCGTCGTCGTCGTCGTCGATGACGTCATCAATAATGTTTTTTTTTCTTTTTGCGGCGTCCATGATTTGTATACGGGGATTTTCGGGCACACACTATACGAGGAAAAATTCAATCGACGATTTTCCTCTCTTTTCTCTCTCTCTCTCTCTCTCTCTCTCTCTCTCTCTCTCTCTCTCTTTCTCTCCTTTTTAAAAGTTTAAATGATTAAAGTGTTCCCGTAGGATATCGCGACTTGCAAACGACTGACTGATTTCTTTTTTTTTTTTTTTTTTTTTTTTTTTTTAAATTCCCGGATGACCGAATTTGATTTTTTTTCTTTTTTCTTTATGAAAAAATGAATGAAATCGTGCCTCGTTTTTTGGCACGAGTTTTCATACCTAAAAAAAGAGAGAGAAAGAGAAAGAGAGAGAAAATAAACATTTGTTTAACGTCAGAAAAAGAAAAAAAAATCGATTTATTAGTTTTTAAGTTGTGTTCGAAACACTCTCTCATCGAGTTATTTATTTATTTTTTTTATTATTAATGGCGAGCATGACGGCCCTGATTTTAAATTTAAAATTAAAAACGAGAGAGAGGGGGGGGGAAAATTTTCTTTTTGCTGATGATGATGATGATGATTTAGAATTTTCACCTGGTTTTTTTATATATATATATTTTTGTAAGCGCGGGAAAAGCGTTGAAAAAGTTATTAATATTCGACGGCCAAGATAAATAAATAAATAATAATCGGACAATTAAGAAGAGAATTAAATCATCATCATCATCATCATCATCATCCGAAATTTTTTTTTAAATGTAAAAGAAAAACGGGAATGTGATGATAATGATAATGATAATAATAATAATAATAATAATAATGTATATATAGTTTGAGATTGAAAATGAATTTCTAGAAGTTTCTCAATTTCTCTCGTTTTTAAACGTTCGCGTGACATTTAAATAATTACGTTACAGTTTCGACGAAAAAAAAATCGGTTCGATCGGTCGGAATGAATGAATGAATGAATGACTGAATGAATGAAAAATTTGTAATGTAAAAAATAAAAAAACTTTATGCCAAATCGATTCGATTATCGTTGAAATTTTTTCTATTCTACGGTTATTATTATTATTATTTTTAAAATTAAATTTAAATTGTGAATACCGAACGTTGAATGGGGAGAGGAGGAGGGGGGAAGAAACCGTTCCATTTCGCGGGATAGAAAAATTTTTAATGTTTTAAATTATTTTAAAAAATTTGAAATTTGAATTTTGATTGAATCCCGAACGTTTAATTTTATGCGTCGGGGGAGAGGGGGAGGGGGTGACGGCGTTCGGTATATTTTTTTAAATTTTAAATCACTTTATGTTAAAAAAAAAAAAAAAAAAAAAAAAAAACGGAAAACTTTTACAACTGTTATTTTATACGAAAAACAAAAATTATTACAGGTCGAATGTTGTCACTCGTTACTCAGGTTCGAAAAAAATACCGGGTTTTTTTTTTTCAGGCACACACACACACTTTCCACGATTATGTGAAAAACGCGAACGTGTGAAAATTTTCAAATATCATCTCAATGCGCGGACGATTGAATAACAACGAACAAACTGGAAGAACTGAAGAAAGCTTTTTTTGTTTTTCACCAAGAAGTTATTTATAGAGAGAGAGAGAGAAAGAAAATTTTTTTTTTTTGCGACTTGTTATTGCGCGGCCATTATTTAAAATTTGGCGGTCGAATATTTTTCGTTAAATTAATAATAATAATAATAATAATTTCCCCCCCTTTTGAATTTTAATTTTTTGTTGTCTATAGGTTGAGATGTTTTAATTATTATTATCATCTCGGTCATTTAATTTTTTTTCTTTTTTTTTGCAGGTCGGCGCGGATGGTTTCAAATCGAAAACGAGAGAAGTTATAGGGGGTCAATATTTGAGTTGGAACTACGATCAGAAAGGAATCGTGGCCACGGTTAAATTATCAGAACCGACGGAAAATGTCGTGGCATGGCAAAGATTTCTACCGACGGGTCCCATAGCACTTTTACCGGTACTTTTTTACATACAAAACATTTTCTCAGGAAAAAAGAAAAAAAGAAAATTCTCTTTCTGTTGTTTAATTTTTCTCATCATCGAATGTATTCGGTTTCCGGTTTTATAAACAATTTTATAAATAGTTTTTGTTTACTAAAATTGGTTCAAACACTAAAGAGAATTTTTTTTTTAAACAAAAAGGAAAAATTGTTTATTTTTGTTATTTTTTTGTATACCAAAAAAAAAAACAACAGAATGTGTTTTTCATCATCATCATTATCATCATTATTTGGATTATGTTGTCATATATATTGTTCATGAGATCATTCGATGAGAATAATTTTTTTTTTTCTATTTCCAAACAAAAGGAGGAAGTGAATGATAATAATAATAATAATTTTTCTTTTTTTTCCTTTTGCACAGTTAACGAACGAATTGAGTTCTTTGGTTTGGTCAACGGAAACGAAAAAAGCAGAACAACTTCTTGGAATGAATGAGGAAACGTTTAAAGATTCGCTCAACGACGCATTCGTGAGTTGAAATGTTTAAAAAAAAAAAATTGTAGACGACGGAAACGTCTTTTAACGGTTTTCTTTTCCTTTTTCAAGTGGAAATCGTATCCCAAAAATGAATTGGTTTCATCCGCGACAGCATCGCTGGATAAAATGTTAAGTTCTCTGACATTGAAATCCTTCGGATCGCATCAGTTACCGCCGTCGGTGAGTTCGATAGTACCCGGAAGTCGAGCTGCTTTCCCATTAGGTTTCGGTCATTCGATAAAATATTACAGGCCGGGAATCGTACTCGTAGGGTGAGTAAAGAAAAAAAGGTTCAAGGTTTACACCAAAAAAAAAAGATAATAATAACGTTTTTGTTGTTGTTGTTGTAGGGATGCAGCACACAGGATTCATCCGTTGGCGGGACAAGGAGTCAATTTGGGATTCGGTGACGTCGAACTTCTCACTAATAAATTGGGTGATTCCGTATATAACGGAAATAAAATAGGTATTTGTTTAAATTGATTTGAATTTTATCCGGGAGGAGGAGGGGGGGGAAAGAAAAAAGAAAAATTTGAAACGGTTTTTCTTTTGTTTGTATAAAAAGGTTGCTCGAGAGTTCTGGCGGATTACGAGTCCGAAAGGCAAAGGGAAATACTACCCATGTTGATAACGACGGATTTTTTGCAAAAACTTTATTCTACGTCATTCGCACCCGTCGTTTTGGTTCGTTCCCTGGGATTGCAAATCACGAATGCACTTCATCCGCTAAAGGTAAGATTTTTACAATAAAATAATTAATGGCGTCGGTGAAAGGGTAAAAACAACAACAAAAGAAATATCGTCGGTCGTGTATGTCAGATGAATAGATGAGGAGTGAAAGGTGCACGTGCACACGCACGCACACACACGCACACACCGTTAATTTAAAAAGGAAAAAAAAATATGTTAATTTGATTTTAATTTGCTTTCTTTTGAGATATTTTAATTACGTTTAGGCTACGTCACTGTAACGGAAAAGTTAAGAAGAAACGCAATGGCGGGGGGAAGGGGAGGGGGGGGGGCAAAACTTAATGTTTCTCGTTCTTCTCTCTTGTTACGACTTTGATTATCAAAATTGTGCAAAGAGAAAATGGCAGGTTGTTATCAAAAATTTTCTTTCTATTTTTTTTTTTTTTCGTTCCAGAACGTGATAATTGGAAAAGCATCGGCGTGAATGTGGAAAATTTGAAGGGGAGAAAAAATGTTTTTCTTTTTGGTATTTTGCATCGTGAGATTGTTGTTGTAGTTGTTGCTGCTGCTGCTCCTGCTGCTGCTGTTGCTGATGATGATGATGATGCTGTTTTTTTTTGTTTGTTTTTGTTTTAAATAGAAAAAATAAAGAAAATATTTTTCAATATGTGTCATGATGATGTCGTGTTTTTTTTCTCCGTTCAAAAATTGTGAATTAGTTTCAGGTACTGATTACGTCGTGTAATTAAATAATAATAATAATAATATGTTTGTAGGTTCTTTTGAGTTCATGTGTTGTGTTGTTGCGAAAAAAAAAAATTAAATTTGGATTAATATTAAAACATCTGCACATTTTTTATTATTATTATTATCATAAAAAAGGTTTTGTTGTATGCGAGGAGGGAGGGGGGATGGGTGGGTAACGAAACAGGTAAAAAGTTGTTTGTTTTTGTATAGAAAGGTAAACCCTCTGAAAAAAAATGTAAAGACTCCCCCCTCTTTTTTACTCATGTTTTGTATTATTTGTTTGTCGTGAGGGTTCGTCGAACCGTGAGAATGTTCTAGAAATCATCCCCCCCCTTTTTTTTCTTTCTTTTAAATTTTATAGCAGAAGGTTTAACAATATATGTTGGATTGTGTTGGAATTTGAAAAGGAACCTTTTTTTTGATTCTATTGTGTATTTTTCCCTATAAGAAAAAAACTGGTTGGTTAATAATAATAATAATGATGATGATGATGATGATAATGATTAAATAATGAGTAATAATTTTATTAAAATGGCGGTGAATCATATAAATTGAAAAGATGAGCCATTTTGCCAAAAAGAAAGAAATTTAATTTTTCTACTATATGACCGGAAGTATTTGTTAAGAATTAATCCAATGGGGGGTTGGCGGGGGTAGGGGAAGGGGAAGGGGAAATAGTCTGGAATTATTTAAATGCGTGTTTATAAATAAAAATAAATTCTTTCTCGAAAAAAGGAAATTTTTAATTATAGAATCAGTCGAGGAATTTTGTTTAATTTTTTATTTGTTACGTAAGATGAAGGGGAAAAAAAATTTCAATTTATTTTCAATTTAAATGACGTCATTTCCAAAACCTTAAAATTAAATTGAAATTAAATTAATTCTGGAATATTTTTTGTTCAAGAAGTGCTAGTTGTTGTTTTTATTCAAGTTCATTGACCAAATAAAAAAATTTTTCTTCCTATCGATTAAATAAATATAATAATAATAATAATAATCATTGTATGAAAAAACAATGAAATCGTGACGATTGCAAATCAAATAATAAGTAATGAAAAAAAATCGAATTCAATATGGCGTCCATATTGTGAAATTTAATAACGAAGGTTTTTAATTTAAAAAAATTTTTCCGATGCTTTAAAACAAGGCCGACATTTTATTATCATTATTATTATTATTAATTTAGGTTTCGGTTATGTAAAATTTAATTTTTTTAATTTCCTTTCACACGTAAAAAAAAATTAAAAATTATTAATTAAATAAATATTCCGTCTGCCATTTTGTTTTTTTTAATGAGCGTCGAGTGAAAGCCGTGACATTAAAACCTGTTTTATTTATTTATTTATTTTTTTTTTTTGGGGGGCTCATAATAAATAAATAAATTTTGATATATTTAACTATAAAATAGGAAAAGATGGCGAACGAATAATAATAATAATATAAACAAACGTTACCCGTTATACTTTGAAATGCATTATCAATTTATTCTTATGGGAATTGATTTATTATTATAAACTTTTAATTATTGCTGTTGTTGTTTTAAAAAGCAAAGAAAATTCAAGATGGCGTTTTTAATTAGGTCAAATTTTTTAATTTTTTTTTTTGTTAACAAAGAAAATTGTATGTAAGCCATTGAATCATAAATAAAATCGATTTCTCGGGTGACGCGTGACGTAGCAAGCATTTTCATTTTTTTTCCAAAAATTCATCCGCGGATATTAAAAACGTTGAAAAATATTAAAAATTACCTTATTTGGGCATTTTAAAATGAGGGTTAATTTAAAAAATTTAAATTTTATTTAACGAATGAAATTCTTATCATAAAAAATGTTTAAATTTAAAAAAAAAAGTAAATTATTAGGAACTACATATCGTTGGTTGGGTGTATGAATACATAAAATGGAACTACTTTTCGAATATAAACCGAGCTAGCGGGTCGTTCTACGTTTAGATTGGGTTGAGCGTTTACGAAGGCAACACCTTGTCGAATTTTGTGTTTTATTATTTTGAGTTTTTGTTTGAAATTTGTTAATTATCATTATTATGAGTACTTCAATTGAGGTAAGTTGAAAGATTTTTTTATTTTTATAAAAATTAATTTAGAAAAGATTCCAGTAGTCTGGATTTTCTTACATTTTGAAACGAGGAAAAATTTCAATATGGCCTTGAATTTATTTTTATATTATTACTTTATTGATGGTTGAAAGATAAATTAAGAACGTGATGACGTTGATAGTTTCTCATTTTTTAATATCTTTTTGGTAAAGAATTTGAATTTATCACGTCAATTTGATATTTTTTTTGGCAAGGAATGCAATGTTGCAACATGTTGCGCAATCACTTCCTTTTTTAAATTTTCTATTTAAATATTAACATTTTTTAATATTTTACATTAAATTCAGTAACGCTAAAAGTGAATCAACCAAAAACAAAAAAATGATTTTTTTAATTTTTTACCACGTCAATTTTTTTTTTTTTTTTTTTTTTATTTTTTTAGTTGCCTTCGGACGCCATCTTACTTGGCTGGAGAAACGACATTGATTTTTTTAGGGATCACGGATAGGACGTTTCATTGCGTACTAGACCTTGACTTGACTTGCAATTGAGCGTTTTTTTTTTTTTTCCAACTGTGGGATGGTCGAAAAGGAAAGAAATTTGACGTGGGTGGTGTATTTGATTGGTTGATTTGTTTTTTTTCTTTCTATTCGAATTTCACCCTTGACCCAGATGGTGGGTGGTGGTGGCCCTCTGAGGAGATTTGAGGATTGGAATTTGGACACGATGATGATGATGGGAAATTGAGTTGATTCGAAGATGCAAGTAACATACCCTTTCAGATGATTTTAATTATTATTTATCGAAAAAGAAAACAAAATGGCAGGAATAATGAATGAACATTATTGGACGCAATTTACATGTCATATAAATATTACCTTTGTACGATTGGCTGATGTAATTTATCACAAAATGTTTAAGGAAGTCAGATAATACTTCATGGCAGATGATAGTTTGACAATGATACAGTTAATACTCAAGTTAAAAATTATTATATATCATTTAGGATTTGATACTTGCAAGGTAGAATTTATTAAATTTTATCAATTATTGTTTACATTGTTTTTTTGACAGAGAAAATTTGTAAAATTCAGTTTTGATTTTTTTAATTTAGTTTATGTTGATGACTTATAAAGTGTACAAGAAAAATTTTCAGTTCGATTTTAAATTTTGTGATAAAAGTTATTATCTAAAATTGTTTTTTTTTTTTTTTTAAATGTATTTTTGTTAACCAATTGTTTTGATGACGTGTGAAAAATTTAAATTCTTTTACCAGCTTGTTAATAAATTACAGGAATGTTGTAAAAAATTTTTAGGACAAAGTTATTAATTTAATTGTGGGAATAAGTAAAAGTTATATTCAGTATCGTTGTTATGTGAGAGTTGTTATTCATTGTATTATCCAACATCGAATTTTATAATTGAATACCAAGTTAAATATTTGCTCAAGTGTTGTGGCAAAAGAAATTTGTTAGTGAATCAAAGAGGAAGAGGAGAGGAGTTTTACTCGTTAGAAAAAGATTAAGGCCCAGAAGTGGACTGTTGAATCGGAATTTTTTTTGATTTTGCAATAAGTTAGTTACCAACACAACCTGAAAATTTGATGATGTAAAACCTTTTGTTTGGTTGGTTGTGAAGAAAAGTAATGTATTGTTGTATCATTCATTATCTTGATCATTGTTTTGGTTAGAATGCCTATAAACTAAAAATTTAATTTCAGGTTAACTGTTTTAATTTTTTTAATGTTCAAATCACCACCATGACAATTTAGAAAATTTTAAAAGTATGAAGTGTGTACATCAGTAATAATGGCTTTATACTTGCAGTATACTGTTATTTATAATGAAATACACATATACAAATCGAATAATGCAAAATCATTTTAGAATCTTCACAGAAGACAAAAGTTTATACATATATATATATATATATATACACGCTTGATTTAAACCTATGTAATAATTGAAACGATGAAGCAGAAAACATAGATTGATGCATACCTAATTACAGATTAATTACCTTGACTTGAAAAACATCAAAAGGCTGATTTTTTTTGTTGCGAAAAATTACATACAATTACAGGTTTTATCATGTACAATGCTGTCAAGGACGGCATGAAAGTTTTATCAAAAATTTACAATTGCAGATGTTGATTGGAAGTGGAAGACGTTGATTACCATGAAAGGAAAAAAAGGAAGGAAGAAAGATATTCCTAACGTTTTTTTTCCAGTGATGAAAGTTTATAAATTTATCTACTCGTGTCCTTATACCGTCAACTCACGTGTAATAATATCAACACCGGTTTTTGTTGATGTCGTTAAAGGGGAATTCGTCATTTGAGGAACATGCAGCAGGAGCAGCAGCAAACCCTGGATTTTTTTTTTTTTTTTGGAATTTTTTCTTATTTCTTTCTAGTTAGTGATACATATACACATTTAGGTTCCTTTAAGTCGGAGGATATAAAATAATGCAACGATTCAAATTTTCACGGTTTCTTAATTAAACTTCCACGTTTACCCAATTTATCGCACGTGTAATTACGACTACGAGTCAACCTATTCATGAGTATAATCAATTACAAATACTTGGTTTTGAGACTTTGTTTGCCCGACTCGAATTTAAGGAATCAGTGAGTACGAGGTGCACAGAAACACATCCCCTTTTTTGGGGTGGATTTTTTTTTTTTTTTATAGGTTCATATCGGGCTATTTAAATAATAAAAAAAACCCATTTCGTTAAGACTAGTATTTATTTACGCATAGACATCTAAAAGAGTGTGTTTGACAATTTAACGATTCCGGCTTTACGGATAGCCTACGATAGGTACTTAAGTAAATGTATGTATTAATTAAAGGTATGTCTGAATTGTATATAACAAAAAAAAAAAAAAATTGTGGGGCACGGGGGGGGAAATTAATCAGAATAGATTTTTAAAGTCTTTCTAGCTTTTGACCGCTGAAAAACGGTGGTTTCAAAACAAAAATCGATGGTTGTCGTGTCGTACATTTTCAAGGTATTTCTAATTTTTTTGACATCAACTGTCCATACCATACAGTATTAAGTTACACTGAACTATGTTCATTCGAAATGAGGCCGTATGTAAAGCAAAGGAGTTGCCGTAAAGTGTATTATTGAAATCATAAAAAAAAAAAACATATTTTTGGGGGTCGGGGGGTTGTTAATAAGTTTTGCTATTCGTAGGTTTTTTATAGGACTATTATTTTTTAAGCGACGCGTGGAGGACATTCGTGTGGATCAGTCAAGTTCCTGATCGATGGTTAAAGAACATTTGTAAAGTTACCAACAAATCGTATAGTTTGTATTTTATTGACAACAGGGGTTCAGGGGGGGGTAGTGATTTAACCGAAAAATTTTTTTTGTTTCCCTAGATTCGCTTTAGCTTAGAAAGGTTCCTTCGACAATCGCTTGAAAATTTCAAAGGTTGCGAAAGGAGAGTTGCTTCAAAGGAAAAGCAATGAAAAAGTTTACTCGGCGGTTTGTTTTTTTTTTCATTCTAAAGGGGAGGGGGATGGGGCTCTTAATTTATTTCTTACATTACAGATGCATACCTCCCCAAAATCACGTAATCAAAGGATGCAGACAAAAAAAATCCTTACCTGAAAATTATCCATTTGCAGTAAAAAAAAAAAAAAAAAAAAAAAGGGACAAGGGGTATAAATTAACGAAATGAATACAGATTGATTGATTGATTGATTGTCCAAGATGTCTTATTACGTTGCACTTAATTCGATTGAGTATAAAAGAAAAAGAAGTGTTACTTGTTGTAAAGTACTTGCACACACACACACACACGTGTAACATTGTTAGAGTTTGATCCAGGTAAAAATGCAAAAAAAAAGTGAGTGTTTTTTTCGGGGAAAAAGCGGGGAGGGGTTTGTAATATTTTCAGAGTTAAATTCTCCAATTTCAACGAGCCTCTCATCTGATGTCCGATCAGAAAAGGGATCGATCGCATACCGTGTGTATCTCTATTATTATAAAGGAACGAACGATTGCGAACGTGTGTCCAACCCAAGCCGTCCAGATTAGAAAAAATTTCCGGTCCTGTTTTTAGAGAAATCATCTACTTTATTCGATTCTCGTATATACTCTCGGAAGTCCAGGTCCCGATCGTCTCGTCCGGCGATATTATCCTCATAACCCGATGAATAGAGATGGAAACAGATCATGGAGTTGGGGTTTCTTCCGTTATTCTGCTCTGCCTGTATTCATCTCATTCCAGTTGTTTCCACACGATTAGCTACTACTCGGACAGTCCCACTCACTTGTCTTCGCGAGCCTGCAACCGCTTTTGGTATAATATTTACCGCAACAGTAGCAGCCATTCATCCATCCATCCATCATTCAGTCTCGGTCATTCAGCGTTTTAGTTAACATTCTCGAAGTTTCACTATGATACCACATTCGTAGGATTTACATCCAGGATTTTTATCGATTTCAACGTCCGCGTCCCGACTACTTTTCTCAAAAGTCATTTTAACGAAGATGGTTGTTGATAGCGACGTCTCAACGTCTATAAGTAGTAGCACACGACGACGACGACGACAAGTACGACGACTAATTATCGCTTTTTTAATTTCCTAATTTATTTATTATATAAATCCGGCGTTCCTTTTCTTAACCAAATTTCACGTTAATTTTTTACACCATCACTTATATGTATACAATCCTTAACATCCTTCATTATTCATCTTGGTTCTCCATGAGCGGTGTCTCTGAAGAGTTTTGGACTATTGAAACTACATTGAAATAACGAGAGGATTATATCGGTCGAAGGTTAGAATACAACACGAAGTGTGCTACTCGTATTATACATGCTTAGTCGAAAACTCTTTCACTTCATCAGTATTAGTTTTACTATACACCCATAGAATATCGTGTCGAAGGAGTGTGTCAATTCTTATGTAGATTTATGTTGGTGCCGGATATTGTTTGGATGGTTTTCTCTTTAGAAAATGAGTTTTGGTCATAATTTAACAAAAAAAAAAAAAAAGATCGGAAAAGCAGTTTTTTTAGAAATGGAATCATCATAATCATCATCGAGGGAGCAGCGCAGAAGAGGAGATTCAATCTGTGGAACTAATCATCGAGGGAGCAGCGAAGAAGAAGAAGAGGTCTCATCATCCATGGGTCGACGAGGGAGCAGCGTAGAAGAGGAGGTCCAATCCAGGGGTCGACGAGGGAGCAGCGAAGAAGAGAAGGTACACTCAAGGTGTCAACGGGGGAGCAGCGCAGAAGAGGTCGCCGAGGGAGCAGCGTAGAAGAAGAGGTGAGGTCTCATTCATTGGTCGACGAGGGAGCAGCGCAGAAGAGGACATTCAATCCAGGGGTCATCGAGGGAGCAGCGAAGAAGAAAGTTTTTCTTGTTATTTTCAAAATGTTTAAAAGCCCACCTTTATTTATCCTCCTCCATTTTCTTTTTTTCTTTTGATTAAAATTTTTAGGTATCAAAAGGATTTCAAACGATATGAATTATTAATTAAAAAGTCTTTTATTCTTGTTCTCATTGTTGTAAAAAAAAAGGTATAAAATGTCTGTGTTGGGCAATTTAATGATTACAAAATTATAATTTAACAATTTTATAAAATACTTAAACGATTATATGATTTATATAAACCTTTATTTCTGTTTATTTTATTTTAAAAAGACATCAACTTCCTTCTCCTTATATGAATCGTTATATCCGGTCGGAGTCACGAGGTTTCCTTTCAAAATCCCTGCGCTATGAAGGGAAATTTCAGTTATAAATCAGTACTCGAGGTATTACCATCGTTTACGTGCGAGGACGTTCTAGAATTTTCGTTAGTAAAAAGATTTAACGGTTATTATATTAGTTACCATTTGAGTGAATGCGTCAATTGTCAAAGTTTCATAATTTTAGTCCAAAAATCAATAATAATGTAAGTAGTAACATTAAATATTTCAAGTTTTTATTTTATTTTTTAAAGAGGAACGTTTTAATTTAAACCGCTTAACTCATTATTATTGACAAATTATTTTGACAAATTTTCATATTCTATGAGTCATAGAGTAACATAAAATGTCATGAGATTATATTGCAAGGCAATGGAAAATTTAACGGTTAGAAATGGTTAGACGGTTTTAAAATAAATTTTATTTAAATCATACGCAAAAAAATGAATTATATATCAAAAAGTGGTGGAATGATTTAACAACACAACAAATGTTTGTTTTTAAGCTTTAACAAAAAAAAAACTTTCTCTTACAATAAATTAAAAAATAATAATACAAATCCGAGAGTTTAGTAATAATAGTTTAATGTAAAGTTAATATTTCGCGCGTTTTTTTTCCATTTTTCCATTTTTGTGTGTGTTACATTCAAATCACTTAAAAAGTAATAATAATAATAATAAATAAATAAAAATGGAAATAATAATCATTTATTTCTTTTCGATCGTCTAAGTACTCTCTCATCTTTCATTAATAATTCGGCACAACTAACAACAGAAGGACAATCCTTCCAACTTCTTTTAACGTTTTTCTTTTCCGGGGTTGTTTCGATGAAATCATCTGTTTCATCATCATCATCATCATCATCATCATCTTCATCAGATGAAGAAGAAAATGATGATGAAGGAGTACAAGAAGGAACTACGCGTTTACGATTTGTTGTTGGCGGACGTTTATGGGTAGGACAAATTATTTTTTCATTATTCATTTTACGAAGTTTTGCAGGAACCGAAGATGGAGGACTTTTATCAATCGTCCTACATTTTTTCGGTGAGAAATTTAATTTATTACTCGTGTCACCCGTTTGTGCGATTCCATCGCTTAAATATTGTTTTAATAATTTATACTTTGGTTCTTGTAACGGTTCCATTTTGGACAAAACGTTAAAATATTTTTCTAATGCTCCTGTAAAAAAAAAAAAACCGTTAATTAACGTCAGTTACAATATGGTTCCTTCATGATAATTTCATTCGAAACTCACCTGGTGGAGTTTTGTTATTAAAACAAATCTGTAATAATTGATTGTAATTTTTCATGTATTTAACTTTTTTCCCATGAATTTCATTTAAGTCTCTCATATGTTCCCATGGTAAATTCGATGAAATCCATTGTAATATGTTATAACCCAAAACTTCGATATCACCTCTTCGTGTAACGACTAAAAATTTCACAAGAACAAAAAGGTTAACTTTTTTAAAGTCGAATCAAAAAAAAAAAAAACATTTATTATGTGTGTGTGTGTGTGTATATAAATGACACATACTGCCTTCATGTCCATCTCTACTAGTATATTCTAATGTACCATTGTGAGCTCTTCTAGGATCAGGTTTATATACATTTGTATACCTTGCTGCAAGACCGAAATCGACAAGGTAAACTTGATTTTCATAACCTTTCATTTTTCCTAATAGTAAATTGGCTCCTTTTATATCTGCATGAACATATCCCTTCGAATGAATGTACTCTAAAACATCAAGCTGGAAAAACATGTTTAACAATGTTTTTAAAAAACATAAAAAACATTTTAACATAAGAAATTCATTTTAACTTACAACTTGATTGGCTATTTTAAAAACTGTCGATACTGGAAATATTCTATTGTTTTCTAAAAAAATGGACCATAAATCTCTACCATATCTTTCCATAACTAAAAACCTATATTTTTTCCCATCTGCAATGTGATTTCCAGAACCATAGAATTGTGGCATTCCTAACGATTTTAAACCTTTCGATTTCATGTATTCTTTAACTGCATAAACAATTGTATTCATTGATTGAGGAAAAACATTTTATGTGTAAAAAAGCAAAAAATAATAATAATAATAATAATGAGCTTACTGTCTTCCTTTTTACCAATTCTAATGTAAACTGTTTTTTCACAAAATAATGGTCCATTTTCTGTAGGTTCCTGAAAAATGAAAATCGTAAATATTAAAAAATAATTTTGAATGTCTTTGAAAATTCTTTTATAAATAAAATTAACATCTTACAATTTTTATAATAAAGTTGTCTTGTTTTGCCGAAGTTGATTTAGAAGCTGTATAAATTTCTCCGAAACCACCTCTTGCAATCGAATTAAGTATTATCCATTCATTCTTAGCAGAATCTATCAAAATATCTCCTTTAGGTATTGATTTTGTTTTTTTTGTACCCCCTCTTTTTCTCTTCCCGACAATCCCTTCAGAAAGTGTTGACATTGAAGAAGTGGATAAATAAAAAACTGTTGGTAATGACATTTTTATTATTTCTTTTGAACTCGATTCAATTATACAGTGTTTCAGGGATTAATAAAAAACATTGATTGCGTGCTCATTATAAAATATATATATATACATTTATCATATAAATAAATGAATAAAATTAAGGCGGAAATATGGAAACCCTTTTTGAAAAATTATTTTGTTGTATTTTTTTTTTTTTATTTATATAAGCAAATATTCAATTATCGCCATTTAAGGCAGGTAAATTAAAAAGAAAATTATTTTTTTTTCCAACCCCAAATCTTAATTAATAACAATCAAGCATTAGATGTGACCTTCTTCAATATAAAATACGCAGAGAATTTGCAACAAAAAAAAAAACGTTAATACCTTCAAATGTCAAATTGTAGACGAAACAATAATGTTTGACTTCGTCCGTTAATGGAGCAGATGGTTTAACATGTGTTTTTTTACTCTATGAAAAATTTAAATTTTATCTAATTCCACGTTTTGAGGTTAACGTATCCCATGATTAGATGAAAGTTTAACGTATCGTTATTATGTGGATTTTAAGTTCTGTATTATATGGCAGAACAAAATTCTTATTTATGTGTTAATTGTGGGAATCGAGTGAAACATTTATACAGAGAATATAGTCCATCAGTTTTGAAATTAATCAATTGCGTAAGTTTACAACAAAAACTTTAATTTATAATTTTTAATTATAAACGACAACTTGTTTTTTATTTACTTTGGTTAAAGTGGAAATTTTCTTTTCTTCACTATTTTTTTTTAGGAAAAATGTGGAAATGTAGCCGACAAATATATAGAATACGATCGAATAATTATTTTAATAGATTTAATTTTACTTAGCAAAGAAGGGTACAGACATGTACTATACAATTCACATTATAACGTAAATATAATAAAAATGAAAATTTTTTAAATAATAATCAGTGTACTTGTTACGACAAGGTTTTAATTTCAGGGTTACATTAAATTAGCTTTTCTATTACTTATCGTAATTTCATTTGACGAATGGATAAGTTGTAAAAAAGTTAAATTTCAAGAGACTGATTTTTACGAGTTAGAATTTTATATTATTTGTTTATCAAAATTCATAGGTAATTAAATTGATCAAATTGTTTTAATATGCATAAGCAATGATGTTTTTATGGACTTATTTTTTCCTAGGAAAATTATTATTCATATTATTTATACTTTTCTTTTTAAACATATACACTTATTATACGAGAAAAAAAAATTTATCGAAAAGTAATATTGTGGATATATCTAAAGCTATTATTTGCTCAAGTTTTGGATATTTTTTTCTTTTGACAATATTAATTTGGGATGATTTTCAAAGAGAAATCCATGTGATATTTATTTACATATATATATATTTTAGTCAAGTTCAAGCATTGACAGGTTTGTAAAACATTATTCTACTTAAACTTGAAAATTTTTAAAATATTACATACATGTTTACTCTTTTTAGCCGCCACCCCTGTCCCCAGGTACATATTAGGAATTATTTGTGGATTGGCAAATGCAACAGATCAATTATTTTCAAATTGTCTGAGAACAATTATAGGTATATAAAAGAAAACATTATTTTAAGAAAAAAAAAAAAAAATATATATATGTATATATTTTTTTAATAAATGCTTTAAACATTCGACTATATATATATTGTTGTGCTTTTATCTATATTCAAATATATATCTGACTTAAATTCTTTATTTTTTTTTTTAAAGCTTTAACAAAGTGACACAATCACAGACTTATATAAATTGCAATTTGGTTTTGGCAACCAATGAGAATTGCAAAAAAAAAAAAAATAAGTGAATGAATTATTATTATTATAATTATTATTAAGAAGATGTACGAGTTATGATTAACTTGTTATGCAAGATAACTGTAGGTATCTTTTTGACCTTCCGTTCTTTCTAGATATTCTTTTTCAATCAAAATATCTATGCATTTTTTAATAGTGTTGACTTTTGGTTTAAAACGTGAATTTAACTGATTGAGAACTTCAGCGACAAGCTGTTGATGTTTGAGAACTTTACGCATTTTCATTATTCTTACGACAGCAGCTTGAACGAGTAATTTTCTATCTTCTTCAATGTGCTTTTGAGTGACTTCTTGTTCCGTTTTCAATTCGGCTTTCATGGGTATGTTTATATTTACTCTTAGTTTTTTATTTTTAAAATTTTCAGAGAGTTTTAATAGTGAAGTGGATTGAAGGTCGCTTTCACTGTTATCAGTTTCTAATAATTTTGTTTTCAAAAGGATTTGAAGAACCTGAATTAAAATATCAGATTTGAGTTGTGTTAATTCTTCCAATTGTTGAACCGTCCAAGATGATGAAGTGTTGTATTGCAAAAGTACAGCCATTTGAAAGGTCGACGCTTGAAGGGTGTAACGAGTTTTAAAACAATTTGTGACGAGTTCACCCTTTGACATGTGAAACAACCAATTTAATTTTCTACCGCTGTGTTGACTGCTGTAAAAGGTTGTGAACATGTGAACGCTTCTTTCGAGTTCGGCTGGTAAAAAAAATGAGTAGGATTGTTGAAAAGGCCATGATCCGGAAGACAAAACCTGTATGCCGAAATCGATGTCAGTCGTATCTTCCGAATTTTCGAGATATATTCGAAATTGTTCGTTTAAATCTTTCGACACGCCTATGTCTTGAAACATTCTTTGTAGCTTGGACGTGTATTCGAATCCGCAGGCTTGTTTCAATTTCGATATCATGCTAGCTTCTGCATCATCCGAAGCACTCATTCTCTGCACGAGTCTTTTACCCAACATTTTACTATAGAATTTTTGAAACACGTCTTTATCTTCGATGTATTTGAAAACGACCATCAATTGATTTAACGTTTCTTCCACTTCCGATTCCTCGGGATTTTTACTTGACTTCTTTAGTAGCATGTCGCAATATCGCGCCAATAATTCGGGCGATTTCGACGAACTGTTTGCTTGTCTTGTTATGGCGTTGCAGTTGATAAATTTACCGCAAGCCTTATCGAGTGCGGCAACGAAACCGGATTCATTGTTAAACGCGTGTGTGACCAAAGTGTTGTATTTTCCATGGACTTCCAAAATGGTATTGACGTAAGTTTTCGGATCGTTTCCCGTTTCCCCGCATTTATCGATGGCCGAAAGTCCTTCGTTACAAATATGAGCTTCCAGCAGGGAACGAAATTCTCCCAAACCCTCTTGTATCCGCGAAACCAAACGAAACATTCTAGCAAGATCTTCTTTTTTTTGCAAATCGAGTAAATGTTGAAATTCAGTATTGAATATTTCCAAATGATTTTCAATTAAAACTTTATCACAGGCTTTCATCAATGGGCTCTGCGTTGTCACATGTAAGTATATTTGAATTCTTTTTTTCTCTTCTTCCAGTCTGAGCTCTGCTTTTTTCAAATATTCAGTAACAGGATTTTGTTGTAAAAAATTAACACTTTCAGTCATGTAAAACCTTTCAGTGTCTCTGAGAAAAGGATTTTCAAAATATTCTTTATACACTGTTAAATTTGGAGTTTTACTATTGGGTTGATCTTCGTTGATTCCAATTTCGACATAACAATCGATAACGCTACCAACCAAATGAGTATTTATAACTTCTCCATTTCTTTCTTTTTCGATTAATTTTAAAACTGCATTGGTGACTTGTTTGTTTAAATTTTCAAATAGTTTGTCTCTCCATGTCACCAAAGCAACATGATAAATTTCATAGACTTCTTTCCTCCCCTCCTCGCATTCTCTTTTAACCCAATGACGATTTAAATAAGAGCAAACTCCGTTTAAAACTTTGGAACTGAATTGATATTTTTCCCATTCTTTGGTATAAAAAGTTAATATGATTTCATCCATCAAATCGATTCCCCTTTTAAATTTTTCAACTAAATGTTCTTTCAATGTGTCAGTTAATCTCCTATACAATTCCAAACCGACCAATTGAGCTCCACCAAATCTTTTCGATTTAGCTCTAGAAGAATTAAAATTTTTACTTTTTTGCTGATGAACATTTGTACAATAATTATAGACATATGTATAGAGTTCCATGTATCTACTCTTGGTCATTGATTCTTGTCCATATATTTCCTGTATACCCTGACTTAAATCTTCCCAGATTTGATCCAAATCGAGAGCCTTGAGCCCTCCCGCATTATTTTGGCTGTGATGAGCACACATTTTACTAAATATTATTGCATTGCTAAAAACTGGAAAAAGAATTTCAAATGTTTTAATCAATCAATAAATATTTTTTTCAATTAACTTATCATAAATAATAAAAGTTATGAAATATTTAAGGATAAATGTTGTAAATAAATTTTAAGGGTTAATTTTTATAAAATTACTAAAAGTAAAAAGTAGTCGAATATTTATTTTATGTATTAAAAAAATTAATAATAATAATAATCAATTAAATTATCGGTGAGTTTACCATTTTAAAGTCAGAGTAATATTAATAATAACAGAGCTTGAAATGTAGTTCATTTTAATTAAAATTAAATAAAATGACACGACGATATGAATTGATTAACAATTTCGATTAAATTTTTCTATTTAATTAATAGAAAAAATACTTTGACCCTAGTATCATAATGAATAAAACAATGTATACACTTCAACATGAAATTTTCTTTAATAAAAATGTAAACATTTAAATTGAAAAAAAGCAGTGTTTTTGTGTCGAGTTTCGTTTTGCCTTACAAAACTTATCAGAGATAAAGCAGTCAATGAATATTTAATATGAATTATATATGTTCTTACTTCATTAAAAATAAATGTAACGTAAAAAAGAAATTTCTAATTGTTTCATCTAACGAACTATACGATTAAACATAATTTAAACTTTAAATTAATATTTTTTAAATTCGAAGCATCGAAAAAGCGGAAATGGTTATTGTGTAATATTTGGCAACGCAGCATTTCTGTAAAAAAATATCTCAGAATAAATAATCATTATGAAATTGTGAATAAGGTTTCCTTATACACATTTTCACAAATTATATATAAAATTAAATGAAATTTTTTTTTTTAAATCACCGTTGAGTAAATAATAAAAAAAAAAAATTTTTTTTTTTTTATTATTATCCACTTGAAAATAATGTACGTAAAAAATTTTTTGACTTGTTTATAACTTAATTTTTGTTAAATTTTATGTAATATGGTTTAATTTCGATTTTTCTCAGATTAACTAAATGGTAATTGAATAAATTATTTTAAATTGTAAAAATGTCTTCAAACGTTGAAAAAACTAGAGAAGAAATTCTTGCCGAGAGACAAGAGAAAAAGAAAAAAAAAGCAGCATTGAAAAATCAATCAAAAGATAAAAGTAACAATGCAACAAGTGATACTGCTGTTAGCAATAGTACTTTAGCGAATAATAAATCTAAATCAGGTGCCAGTAAAAGTCAAAAAGTTAACAGTCAAAATAAAGATAAAACAAATTCAAATAAACCCTCACAATCTTCTTCGCTTACAAATGCTAGCAATTCAAATGTAAATACTACAAATAAAGTTAACGAAAATGCAGTTACAATAGAGAAAAGTATTGAACAAGTTGAAAAAAAAGTCAATCATAGTGTTTCTAAAAATGATGATGCTGATTCTAAAAAATTACCCGTAAAAGATAGCACAAATGCAACTAAAACAGAAGAAAAATCTAAAGCTCAGTTGAAAGCTGAAAGAAGAGCTAAACAAGAAGCTGACAGGGCTAGAAAATTACAAAAATCTGTTAAAGAAGTTGATGAGAAAAGGAAAGTTGTTTCCGAATCGAAACCTGTTAGTAAACCTGTAAAAATTTTGAAAACACCTTTTCCTACTGCTCAAGTTATACACAAAGTTAAATTATTTACTCATTTGCATGATTTTTTGCCTGAATCGGATGTGGTGTAAGTACCAAGTAATGTATATTATAAATAAAAAGGTTTTTGTTACACACATATTAAAATTTTTTATCACTTTAGCGATGGTCCGGAAAGTATTCATCCCAGTATAATACAACTCAGAACTCAATATGCTTCAAGAGTGGTCTCTGGGGCTAATGCATCTTGTCTGGCATTACTAAATGCTTTGAAAAAAGTAAGTCAAAAATTTTTTTTTTACTCCATGTTATAAAAGTATTAGTATTAGTTAAAATTCTAAAAATTAGTCCATTAAATAATCGCTAAATAAAAAATGATGCCTCATTTGTGGTTTTAGGTTGTGATGGATTTTGAAGCGCCATCAAATCAAGATTTTTCCAGAGGATTAGAAAGTGAAATTTCAAAATGTATGTCTTATTTAAGTAGGTATAGACCAGTGGCTGTGTCAATGGTGAATGCGGTAAAGCATTTGAAATTTAAAATTACTCAAAGTAAGGGAACAGAGCTTGAATATAAAAACGGTATAAATGAATGGATAGATACATATATCAGAGAGCAACTCGAAATGGCAGCTAAAGCAATATGTTTATTCGTCAGAGAAAAAATCACATGCGGAGATGTTATTTTAACATATGGATGGTACAGTTATTAAATTAATTAATACTGAACATCAAACCAAATTGAAATTGAAATTAATTTTATTATAATTATACAGGTCTTCGTTGATTCATCAAATTTTAATATCTGCTTACAATGACGGAATTAAATTTCAAGTAATCGTTGCCGATGGAAGACCTTGGTTGGAAGGGAAAGAATTATTGAAAAAATTAGTCGCTGCAGGAATTAAATGCACATATGTTTTTGTCAACGGATTGAGTTATGTTATGCCGGAAGTAGGTTCACATCTGTTCTTAATGTTTATTATACATCAGCGAGTTGAAAAAGAAAATGGCTGAGGTGTTACAAATTAATTTTTCTTTTATAGGTTACAAAAATTTTGCTCGGAGCTCATGCATTGTTAGCAAATGGTTATGTCATGTCTAGAGTCGGCTCATCTCAAGTAGCTTTACTAGCTAAAACATACAATGTTCCAGTTTTAGTTTGTTGCGAAACTCATAAATTTAGTGAAAAAGTTCAAACAGACTCATTTGTTTATAACGAATTAGGTAAGAAAATATTTTTTTAAAAGTTCAAAGTTTCAAGATTGAAATGCTCTCTGTAATTAATTATTCTTGTAATTTTTTTTCCTAGGAAATCCAGATGACTTGGCATCGAATAAAGGATGCATTTCCAAGGAACTTTTTAAATGGAAATCAATTCCATATGTAACTCCGTTAAATCTCATGTATGATGTCACACCTCCCGATTTGGTGTCGGCTGTAGTAACCGAAATAGCTGTTTTGCCTTGCACAAGTGTACCAGTCATTCTAAGAATCAAACCTCCTGATGCTTTTTAATTTAACCTCTTATTATTTATAAAAGATTATTATTTTGTTAGCTGAAATTTACTTTTATTTTTTACTTTTCTTTGTAAAAAATTTTTTTTTTTACTTTGTTTATCGTTTTTTCATCTCACTGAAAATATTGATTTTTTTATTTTTCATTTATTACTAGACTGGAAATTTAGTCAGTTAAATAATTTAAAGTATTTGAAAAGTCTGACCGTAAAAAGAAAAATATTTAATTTATCATCAACTTTATTTACATAATTTGTTTGCACTTAAAATATTGATATTTTTAACTTGGTTTAGGTTATAATTAATTGCTTTAATTAATTTATAAAAAAAAAAAAAGAAATCGAAAATAAGAGCTTTTATTTTTAAAAAGGGTTTTTTTTTTTTTTTTTTAATATTTTCTAATTTTTTTGTACAAATTTCTATAATAAAACACTATTTTATATTCGTACGTATATCTTTTCATCCATTTTATCGTGTCATTAGTTAAAATTAATAACAAAAAAAACGTGCTACAATGTCTCAAAGTTACTTTCTTACATTAGTAGTATTTAACAAGTTATTTTTATAAGAAATATTTTTTTTTTTTTTAAGTGAAAAAATTTAAAGGTTATTACGGGTTTAAAAACTTGATTTTAAGGTTAGATTTTGAAAGCATTTTAAATAATTATAATTTATCAAGGAAATTCTACAATAAATTAATTATACTTTAGTAAAGTATTGAAATATTATTTTAACAATTAACAAAAATGGTTGTTGAAAAGAAAAAAAATAAAAAACATAACGAGGACAATGATTTAAATGAATCAGTTAAAATTAAAAAAAAAAAATTAACAAAAAAAAAAAATTCAGAATCGAAAATAAAAAATAATGTAGAAAAATTAGATTCAAAAAAAATATTAAAAAGTTTTTTAACTTTAAAAGAAGTACCTAGTGATAGTTCTGATGGCATGTCAGAATCAGAAGAAAAAACAGTAAAAGAATCTGATAAAAAAATTGAAATCCCTAAAAAAAAATTATATACTGATTTTACAACGAATACAGTTTTTGTTGGTAACCTTCCCATTACTTATGATAAAACTAAAGTAACAAAACTTTTTTCTCGATTTGGAAAAGTTGTATCTGTAAGTATTACTGTATGTATTTCCTATTCTTTTTATTTTATGATTGTTTTATTTTATTAACTTTTAAGGCGAGAATAAGATGTATACCAATAGCTAGTATCAATATGAAAAAAAAAGTAGCTGCAATAAAAAAAGAATTTAATCCTAGAAGAAATAGTGTTGTAGCATATGTTAAATTTGCTTCAGAAGATTCTGTCAAAGCTGCCGTTGATGCAAACGGAATGATTGTTGATGGACATCATTTACGAATTAATTTAGCCGAAACTTCAACAGAAATAGATACTAATAAAGCAATATTCGTAGGTGGTTTACCATTTGGTATGTTTAAAAAAAAATTATTCAAAATGAAACCTAATATTTCATTACTCATTTAGTACTTGTAAAGTTGTTAATACCTGTCACTGGTACTTATTTGTTTACCTAGATATTGAAGATGATGAATTATGGGAGTTTTTTGAAAATTGTGGGAAAATTAATAGCGTTAGAATAATAAGAGATTCTCATACTTCTATGGGAAAAGGAATAGGATATGTAAATTTTGATTCGACAGCTGCAGTTGAATTAGCTCTACAAATGGATGGTCAAGAACTTAAAAAAAGATGTATAAATGTTAAAAGATGTTTAAGTACCAAATTGAAGAAAAAAACAAAATTATTTGGAAAGAAAAAAACGGAAGAAATGGTTGAAAAACTTTTATCAAAGAGAAATCAAACAAAAATAAAAACTAATAAAAAAAATAAAATGAAAATCTCAAAATTAGAATCTTCTGCTAATAGTTTTACAGGAAGCAAAGCTAATGTTAAGAAAAAGAAGCAAAAGGTTTTTTATATATATTTTTTTTTATTTATTCTCGAATTATTATTCCGTGTAATGAGTACATGAAATATTTTGCCATTTTTAATTTTATTTTTATCTTTCAGAAACCGAGTCAACAAGTTATGAGAAAGAAAAAAATTGTTAAAATTCTAGAAAAATCATAGAGTAAACGAACAAAAAAGGATTGGAAATTATTATACCACATAAAGCTTGATTCGAATTTATCGTTATTAAGTATGAAAATGAGGTGATAAAAGGATATGATTAAATGAAATGATACAAAATATTAATTAATTTTATATTTTTATGAATTAGGTTCTTTTATTTTTGAATGTAATCTTTCTGGAAATATTTTTTTACTTTTCCAAGCACAATTTTGACAGTATCTTTCCTTATAGTAAATACTACATTCTATTCCTTGGCATACTGGATTTTTACATACATAACAATCAGAGCCCAAAATAAAAAATTGTTTTTTTTCCCATGATGTGAATGGATCCTTCACCACATAACAATCTTTATTAAAAGTAATGTTATTTAAAAATTTTGGTTTTTCTTCTTTTGCATCGTAAGTTTCTTTCATTTTGCACAAACTACATTCGAACCATTTTATTTTTTCTTCTTCTTCTTCTTCTTCTACTGATTTTTCCATTAATTCATTCATTTTTCTATCTAAAATAAAATAATTCTTTTAGTTCATTTAAATTATCAAACTAACTTTTTTTTAAAATAAGTTATTATTAACTTTTCATCCAGTGTTCATTCTCATTTTAGGTGCTTCATTAGGCCACCAAAATGGACGATGTGTATTACATTTTTTTTCAAAAGTAATTAATTCATTTGCTTTTAATGCTTCTTCAATTCTCAACAATCCAAGACCGCTGGTTTGTTCAACCCCGAAAAGTTTACCAATTGCTTTTGTTAATTGAGAAACTGAAAATATTGGAATGCCAGGTTGAGTGATTGATACCTCTTCATTGAATTTAAGAGGCATTATCCTTTTTCTAATAACCCCTGTGTGATATGTTCTCGCTGTTAATTCCTGACCGACATAGCATCCTTTGTGAAAACTTATGCCATGCAAATAATCACCATTTATTTCCATTGGGAAACATTTTTCCAATGGTAACTCATTTAATCCTTCACCTATGCCTAAATTATACCTCAAAAATTTATAAAAATTTTCTTCTTGAACATTAACATCAGCTATCTTTTTAATTTCATTAACTAAATTGTAATCTTTCGGTGTTAAAACTCTTAACCCCATGCTTGGTAGTCTTGGATCATTTGTTATAATTAATTGGGGTAAATTTTTTTTCAATTCATTGAGTACAGGTTTATAATTATAGACATCTTTAGGATTTATGATGTAGTCTTTAAAGGCAAGAGCCCAAACACTGAATTCATCAGAGAGAAGATCAATGTTTACTTTTCTTCTTACTTTAAAATGCATTAAATGATCTTTTAGATATAGAGAAGCATTCGAATCGCATTCGACATAAAATGTATTTTCAATGTTTGTATTATAAATAATACTATCATATAAAACTCTTCCTTTACTGTTAAGAAACATTGTGTACATGCTAGAAGCCCCACTTTCCAAATGCTTCATGTCATTTGTTATTAAACCTTGTAAATATAAATTTGCATCTTTTCCACTTAATCTTAATAAAGATCTTTCATTTAACCTTTGTGCCAATAGTATTTTTTCCGCGCTGGCAAAACATCTCTTATTTAATAAATAAATGTTTTTTGGAAGCTTCATTACATACCTACGCATATAATAAAAACTACGGCTCAAAATACAAAAAAAAAAAAAAAAACAATTTGAATTCAAATTTCTGTGTTTTTTTATTTAAAACATATATTCGTAAAAAATTATTCAACATTTCAATTTTCATTGATTGTGAAAGTTTTTATAAGAATAACTTAATGTACCTACCAATTAACTTTTCTATAAAAAGATAAATTCATTAAAAAAAAATAATAATAATAATGACAGTTGATCCTTTTGTATATCTTATTTTATAACAGCAGAAGTAATTTTTCGAAAAAAAAGGAAAGCAGAAGAAAAA